CATTTACTTTCATTCTTATTCTTTGAATTCATTTTCCATTGATCTTATATCCTCTTTGGTTGTAACTTGTTTACCTTTATGATCTTTTCAACTTCGCCATATCCCCTTTATAACTTAGTAAAGTCTTCTTGATTTTTGTATGTATGTGTGAATCCCAGTAGAGAAATAGGCAATGGTCAAGTTTATGGTTGATCATGCTTCATGTTGTGCATTTTAAGTGATACACTTTATCTTATACACTTGAGTGATTGAGAATATTCATGTGAGAATTCTATTTCTTATGGTTCACTAACTTGATTTGATAAGTTTATTTGTCAATTTAGAGTATGAGGATTGATTTCCATTGTAGTCATGATATTTAAACTTAGTTAGCTTTGTACATAGCTTAGTTTGTGTTTTATTACCTATGGTTTGATTTTGTGATTTGCCCAAAAAAGAAAAGTTTTAAGTGTGAGGAAATTTGATATAACATATTTTATATTTACATTTATAGTTTTATTTTGATTTATAAAAACTTTTTATATGCTTTATATTTAGAGTTTTTACTATTTTCTAGTTATTTGAATAAATTAGGCTTGTTACAAATACATGCTTTAATTGCATATTTTCAATTATTCTGACCTATAACTATTCTTTTGGTCATAATTTTTTTCTATAGATATCGTTTTTGTTTGATTTTAGTTGCATTGGATTCTATACATTCAGGGCTTCAAAATGCATGTATAGATAATTGAATTTGGAGTTATTTTTTATTTTTTATGATTTTTTGAAGTTGAAAAAGATTTGTTGAATCTTGTTGCGGGATTGTATTTGCACCTTTTTTATTTAATAATTATATTTGGACTTTTAGATATAATTAAGGCCCAAATTTTGGCCATTTAATTTACCTTAAACAAAACTTATAAATAGACTAATAAAGTTCTAAATTAGAGTGTACGATTAGATATTGAAATTTGACTGTTAATAAGAATCCTTGTTTTTACCTTTTCTAAAATTCTCTCATCTTCTTCTCATTCTCACTTGGGTTAAGTACTTTGATGGAAGATTAAACCTCTCATTCAATTCAGATGGTGTAAATCTAATTTGAGTTTTTGGCCAAATTGCTCAAGTTTGTTTTCTTTTTCTCTAAATTTATATTTGTATATTGTGATCGTGATTAACTTTTCTGTTGTTAGAATTTAAATTAAGACTCAATCGATGTTCTAATTTGATAATTAATTTGGATTAGATTAAATGATAATTTGATTTAATTTATGATCTAGTTCAATTAGGTTATTCGATTAAATTAATAATTGGGTTGCGTAATCATTCAAATTTGGATAAAAACTTTTAGATACTATAATAATTAGAATTACACGCATTTGGTATTCGTTGATTGATATTCCTTAATAAGTTTTTATTCAATTTACTTTCGCTCATATTTTTTATTTAATTAATTCAAAAATTTTAAATCCCTAACTTTTATTTGCTTTATTAAAAAAATTTAAAATTAAATTTAATTGAAGATGTGTCTCTATGAATCGACTTAGATCAAGCTCTATATTGCAAAATTCTTAAAGAAACTTAGTTATTTTGATAGCGACTGAGCATCGTCTATCACATAATAAATGAATAAGTACAAAAAATATAACGTTTTAACTCTGAATTAAATTTGACTGTTATATTTAATTTCTATACATATTATTTGTTTCAAAAGTTAGTTAAAATTTTTTACTCTCTTAATTTTTTCTTCACATTCAAACATTTCCCTTTATGTGCTTTTAAAATTTTATGAGTATAAAGTCTAAGACTTATAATATGAGAAAAATAAATATTAGTGTTTAAAATGTCATAAAAATATTTTTTATATAAACATATCAAATTATATTTATTTATTAACATTTCATATTTTAATTATATGATTATTCAAAATTTTCACATTGAAAAAGAAGTTCCAATGTTTTTGACAATTTTTTTAAGAGTATTCAATTACAAACGCGGAGAACAATATTTTTTAATGAAAAAATTTAGTCATTTGTAGACTTATAATTAATTCTCAAGATATAAATCAAAATATGAGTATTATACATAAAAAAATTAAATCAATACAAACATATATTTTTATTGATATAATTATTTATTATATTATATTCTTAAAATTATACAATTTTTAATTTAAAAAATAATATTTAAATCAGGTTTATTAATTATTGATTTTTTTTAGAATCAAGTAACGTATCAAACATTATACTACAAAAATGTCACACAAAATATATAAGTAATCAACAAATTTCATAATACACCCACAGATCTGCATCAAAATGTTTAGAATATATATATATTTTTTATGATAGTATAATATTTTAATGTTTTTATATTTAAGTTATATTTATATAGTTTTAAAATAATTATAAACCTAATAATAATATATGTTTTTTTAATTTAATTTACATGTTCCCTTTCATTTAATATTTTAAATTTATTTTCTAAATTTTATTTAAATTAATATTTTTTATTTTAATAAATTTTTAAAAAATATTATTATATCATTTACAAACCATATTAATTATTTTAAAAATTTAAAACAAATACATAAAAAAATTAATGAATTTATTATTTTAATTTTATAACCACACAACATAACTTTGTTATACTTAATTAGTTATTTAATAAAATTAATTTTTTTTAAATGTTAATCAATATTAATTCTATTAAGTGATCAAGCAATATAAAATAATTTAATTACTTTAAAAAATTTAATTCTATATTTTTTATTTTTATCAACAACTAAATTTCTAAATTAAAAATATATATTACATTATTATTATTTTTCATTTACAACTTTTTTTATAGTAATTTTATTTATGTAATAAAAAAATAATATATTTTTATTTTTAGATATTAACATATAGTTTTATATATATTTATATTGAAATCATATTTTTAAAATTTCATACATTAATTAAATAAATTTTATTTTATTTTGTATATATTAGTCGAATGAGTTATTTTTAAAAAAATATTATATCATTATTTTATAATGATATCATAAAAAATTTATTAGTAATTTTAAATTATAATTATAAATAAAAAATTTATCATATAAATTTAGGTTAATAAATATAAGCAAATGCATAAGTAAGAAATTATAGGATATTTTATTTAAACTTTATAACTCATTAAAAAAATTTGTTATATTTAATAAATTATTGTTATAAGTATTTATTTTAAAATTTTATATTAATAAATAATTTTATAATATGATGAAATAATATAAATTTTATTTTAATATTTTGGAAATAAGAAATTTTATACTATTTAAAATTAATTTTATAATTTTATTATAAATATTTTTTTAGTCTATCAGATATTTTAAATTAATATAATTAACTGTAGAAAATACTAAATTATATATATTTTAATTTTACAGTACTATTCTAATGTTATGATATTTTTTGTAAATAAATTTTTTATATAACAATAAAAGTATTAATATATTTTAATTTGCATAAATTACTTTATAATTTTTTATATATTTATACTTAAATTATTATTATTTTTAATAAATTATGGCGATAATAAAAAATTTCCTTTATTTATATTTTATTTAATTAACATGTTTTTTTAGTCTAACATTTTAATTTTATTTATTAATAAATAAATAACACTAAAAAATATTAAAATATATATTATATTATTATCAATTTATTATGTATCATAATTTTTTTAATTAATTTATTTTTCATAATCATAAGAAATTATACTTTTTAAGTAATAAATAAAATATTTGTTAATATTATCATTAATTTTTTTAAATTTAAATTTTTTTAAGTATATTGATATTTATTTATTTATTTATCTTTTAAAATTTATTATAATTATTATCGTATATAATTTATTTATTATATTTTATTTTAAAATAACTAATAATATGTATCATTATCTATAAATATATATATATATATATATATATATTTAAAATTTACTTATTTATTAGTATTTTTTAAGATTTAACATATTGAATATAATAACTTTTTTATTATATTTATATATTTTATATTTAAATAATATATATTTATTTTTATTTTAAAATAAATTTATTTAATTAAAATAAAATAAACTCGTACAACGTATGTACATATTTACCAGTATTGTATTTTAAGTTTATCATTTTTTATAAACATTTTTATGATAAATATCTCAACACATTTAAATACTAATAAGCTAATTTTCCTTATTATTAATATGGAGACTATATAAGCATATTCAATCTAAAAACTTTTTAAATACGTTAACAAATTTCTTCTTTTAAGTAGACTTTAGGGTTAAGTATTGTTGTTGTAGATTTAAACCTTTAAATATACTAATAAATAGATAATTTAAAATTATTACAATAAAAAATTAATAACATATTTTTTTATGTTACATGTTATTTATTCAAATTAGTCAGCTTATTATTATTATTTTTATATTTTTTTTAAAATATTAAATTTGAACTTGATATATAAAATATAAACTCTTCTAAAATAACTAATCTTACTATGTTAGGTATATGTGATTTTTTTTAAAAAAATATTGTATCACATTTAAAAGACTTTGTGAATGAATTTTTTTAATTATATATATAATTTTTCTAATTTAATTTATTTAATAAATAAGTTTGATTTTATTTAGACAACATTCTTGAGAGACTATATTTTTTAACAAACAGTTTTAAAACTTAATTGGATAACAGTATAAACGGATTTATATTCCTTAATGTTACAAAACAGTTTTGAGAAAAGAAAAAATAATGGTGAATAAAACAAAGTTATTAAAAAAAATTGTAAATACACTTGGTTATTCCTATCCTATTTTAAAACACAAAGCAAGAATAAAGCAATTTTTTTAATTCAATTTATTTCGGCAATTTAATTTTTAATTCAATAAGAAAGAAGTAATTGAAAGAAGCAATAAATAAAAAGCCCAAAATGGAGGTCCAAAAAAATAGTTTATTCTGAAGCCCCCTCGAACGTCGTCGTCTTCATGCCCAGCCCACAACTCGCATAGTCCCTCTCCACACGCGCACGAAGAACAACCAACGTGCAGAATATAGAGAGAAAGAGGAGCAAAATCACCATCACGATTACCCAAATTGGCCACCTTTGATTCCTCACGATTGCTTCCATGCCTGACATTTTCCGCTACATGTTAGGTTCCATGGCCAATTCGTGATCCAACTGTCCCTTTTCCAAAACCCTAGGAGAGAGAAACTTCGAGTTGAAACGGCCTCTTGGGGCTCTTAGGTTTTGCCCTACCTTCCAATTCTGCGACCCTTTCGTGAATTAAGGTGGTTTTCTTGCCTCAATTGTTGTGATTTTGGCATTTTGTGTGTTCCCCTGGAAACCCTAGGATCATGCCAATTGGGGGAATTTGTGGAAATGGGTGCTGTTAGGGCTTTAATTTTGTTGGGGGAATTGTGCTGGGTTGTTGTCTCTTTGCGACTGTGTTGTGCATTGTGTTGGAAATGGATTCAGGCTTGTCTGTTTATAGGTACCTGGCATTAATGTGCTATTAAATGCAGGGGGCTTGTGTACCCATATTGGGAAACTAAATAGAATGCGAGCTTTTGAAGTGGCAGGCTAGTAATTTGAAGCATAAATGTATAGTCTGCAACGTTTGTTTGAAATTTGAAGGGAATAAAACCATTGGCAGTAACATTCATGCATGCAATAGTTTCTCCTTCTGTGCATTTATTAGTGACTAGTACTTCAAATATTAACTATCATACCATTCTTCTTGTTGCTATTAGTTAGTATATTTGTAGATTCTGCAATGTTTTTCTGGTTTAGCATTTGCTTTCCTGTTCCCCTGTTTATAAATAGCCAATAAAGTATGTTGCAACATGCTAACCATTGTTTGATAGGTGTTCCTTTTAACATCCTAACTTAATAGGTAGTCCAGTTCACTTTCTAATTAGTATGAACCTTTTAGATAGTGAATTAATACTTGCTGAAAAGTGGGTCACATATTTCAAACTTTTATGGGGTGCTTTTCATGTTTATTTATGTTCCACCAAGGCTGATGATGGTTGCAGCAAACACACTCCAACACTAAGTTAGTATGTCCCTAGGAGGCTATTATATTACATTCAATCCATTACCTGAGGGCTTAGTCCCTATTATTGTGGTGAGAATGAGATGCTTGATTAACAAGTAACCTAGTGTCATTACAGGATTTAAATGGATTCTATCCCTTGATAACAGATTGGGAGAGGATATAATGGATTTGGATCCTTTATAACTGATCCTTGAAAGATCCTGGAGATATATGTGTTAACTATCTGGTGGGGCCAAGTTTGCTTGTCTTCAAATAGCAGGTTTCCTTGCTTTTGTATGTAGGGACAAAATTGAGTTCATAATAATATGTTTATTTTAGTTCATATCTTAGGTCTGTGTAGTGTGTACCTTGTGTATTGCTGTCATATAGTTTTAACATAATAGTATTCAAATTCTTGACTGATGGGAAGTTTTGGGTATCCTGATATTTTTAATAATTGTTTATTGTTACGAATTGCTTGGTCATTTAATTTATGCTTTTTAACCCTCTTTTCTTCACAAATTTGGTTGAATCATTAATAGATGCGAAGTAAAGCTCTTAGATATTAGAGGTTGGGAATGCATGGATATAACTCAGGATCTGCACTTGTTGTAAATGCTGAGGTCGATTCTATGGGAGGAGTTGTTGACGGCGGAGTTGGGATAGGTTTGAAGATCTCTCCGCGCAGAGCAGCAATTGAGAAGGCTCAAGCAGAGCTCAGGTGATGGGAAAACCCTTCGTGTGGTTGCATTTTGTTTTCTTACATTTTGATTGCCAATCCATAATTCTTATGTAAAAGAATGATTATTGCATGTGATATCAGAGAGGAGTATGATGCTCGTGAAGAAAGAAGAAGAGAACTAGAATTTCTTGAAAAAGTAAGAAAGTTTTGATCTTTTTCACTTCATATCTCACAATACTTTGATGTAAATGATGGCCACCTCTACTTTGTAAGTGCAGGGTGGGAATCCTCTGGACTTTAAGTCAGGGAATGCTGCCTCAGCTAGCGTCCAGTCTACTTCACTCACTGATCAGCATCATGAGCAGTTTGTGACCAGGTTGGCTATTCACATTTAGTTTTTCCATGCATGTATGTGTGCTACTTTTCTATAAATATCCTTTGTGTATTAATTTTCTTAATGATACTCTTTTTATTCTTTCTCCTATTCTGATCTCAGTGAAGCAAAAGGTAGTTTTGCATTGACTGCCTCCCCTCATGGTGACTCTGTTGACAGTAGTGTTAGACCAGGTGCTCCTTTGGCTAGTGAACCTAATACTGCTGATAATCTCCTACTTTTTGATGGTGAGAATGAGTTGCCTGAAACTGAGAGGAGGTGCCTGCATTCAAATAGAAGGAATAATAATGCTCCGTCAGAGCAGTCTTCCCAAATTGATGGGAGTCAAAATGTTAGGGAGACTGAAGATTCTGCTATTTTCCGGCCATATGCACGAAGGAACAGATCTCGACCAAATCATGGTCCTCGTGGAGCTTCAAGGGAAGTGAAGGGATTAATATCTGAAGCAAATAACCAAAGGAACCCTAATTTGCCTTCTGTATCTAAGCCAAAGCCTTCCAGTTTAAATGGTGATATCGGTACTAAAAGTCTGGCAACTAATAATACACTCAATAATGAACTGGTTGGGATCCGAGATCATCAATCCACTAGTGGCAGTTCTAGTGTTCCTCATGATAAATTGAATATTACTGTGAATAGAAACTTAAAAGGAAATCATGGAACTCTACCTTCAGAAGTTAACACTGTTCGAAACCCAGTTATCATGGCTTCTGGAGAAGCTAATGCTGTTGAATCAAGGGAGCCAGTAGCTGCTGTTGATCATGAGCCTTCACCTCATGTACTTACTACAAAACCTGAAAATGGGACTTATCATTGTCAGCCAAATGGGTTTGGCAATGTAGAAGTAGGCAGGAAAAGTGCACTAAATGAAGGCCAAAATAACATTGCTACATTAGGCCCGAAGAATTTCAATTTAGAGTCCTCGTGCACACATATTAGTTTAGGTAGAGATGTAAATAATGATAGTGATATGTGTACTAATATAAAGAATGTTGATGCTAATGAAAATAACATGGAACAACCATTTGCATTAGAGAATAAACTGACCTTTGTGGGCTGTGAAGTTGTGAAAGATAGGCACAAGACCAAAAGTGAAAATGGTGCTACTCTTAGCAACAAGCATGATGCTGGTAATCAAAATCATTCTGGTAGTGGTAATGTTGTCAAAGCTGAGGAAGATGTCCCAATTAACAGTTCTATCTTGTCAAATATAAAGGGAGTACATCACAATGATAGTACCATAACAAAATCTGATAAGGATACTGTCTTAGTGGATCATTCAAATTCTGTGAAGGAAACCAGCTATGAAAGACATCAGGCTCCTGCAGATTTGTCATTATTAGAACTTCCTCAGACTGCTGCAGCTGAAAAGGTTACTAGTGCCACCTCTGATGGTCAACCAGGTTCTACGCACAACATGAAGTTAGCAGACAGAGCTCATGAAGATTCTATTCTGGAAGAGGCTCAAATTATAGAGGTCTCTATTTCTGTTTTCCATTTCCAGTGATTATTGTTTACATTTTTTGGTTATATTTTGGATGTTCAGTAAATTTTAAAGGTCTGACATGATACTCTAAACAGGCCAAGAGGAAGAGAATTGCAGAGTTATCTATTCGCTCTTTACCCAAGTTGAACCACAGAAAGTCACACTGGGGTTTTGTTCTTGAGGAAATGGCATGGTTGGCAAATGATTTTGCACAGGTTTTATTTTTAATACTTCGTACTGGTGATAGATATTATACTTTCTCATACCTTTTGTGCAATCTTTTTCATTTAGAAACTAGCAAAATAAAAATCCTGCTTAAATTTATATGTGTTTGTTGAAATGATTTTTCATTGTCCTCAAAAAATGCATTTGTAGGAGCGTCTTTGGAAGATAGCTGCTGCTGCACAATTCGGTCATCGGGCAGCTTTTACTTGTCAGTTAAGATTTGAAAAACTAAACAAACAACTAGGGATAAAAATTTTGTCTCGCAAGATTGCAAATGCTGTCATGCAATTTTGGCATTCAGCTGAGCTGCTTCTAGAAAATGATGATCCTGGTGTTGAATGCATTGTTGGTTCTGTTGAATCTGGGAATGTTTATGGAAATAAAGCTTCTAGGGACCGAAGAAGAAATTCCAATTTGCTGCTGGTTATTTTCTGTCCCTTTTTACTCTATCCACAAATTAAACAGTGCTATACGAATTTGGTCATTGTCTTGCTAGAATTTTGCTGTTATATGAATTTTCTTTTTCTAATTTTTTTAATGAGTTGCTGTCAGTAAATCATTTAGTATGGATTTAAAAGTTGCTACTTTAAGCTTCACAATCGATATCGTGTATTGCATTTATATACAGCCTGTGTAATCATGTAAACTTGTAATAGTGATTTGAGAAAATGAGAGAAAAATCAAGAGAAACAGAAAGTTTTAGAGAGAGAGAATGAGGGAAGAAATTTGATTTTATTGATAAACAGTAATAAAAGTGATTATACATTATGGATCTTGTAGGATCTCTCTATTTAATAGACTTACAGCCTATATAACCACTCACTGACAGCTGTCATGCAACTGTCAGTTAGTCACAAATTCACAACAGAGGCAACTGCAGCGCCTAAACAAACTAACTATTAGAAGCGCAACACCTACTGTACAATATAGAAAATAATGAACTAGGTTAGGCTTATACTCTTGACAACTTGAATGAGTTGGTGAACTCAAAAGTCTGAACCAAATTGTGTAAACTGGTTGTATAAATTAGCTCAAGGTTTTGAGGATAAACCAAGCCAAACCTTATTTATATTGTTATATATATGCATTTTATATGTAGTGTACTTGTAATGTTGTAGTTTCTGACAAGGTAGTTAAATCGGGATTCAAGCTGTGAATCATAAGCCTTGTTATTTGAATCATGAATCAAATCGTATCTTGAATCGAAATATTCAACATCACAAATCATAAAAAACACAAATATAAGAGCATTGTAACATAAAGAAACATCAAAACATCTAGTATATTAACATTTTGAAGTCAAATAGTATATAGCTAACAATGTGACATATACTTGTAAGCAAGCTAGGATTGAAATCATAATATTTAGTCACATTAATAAAAAAAAAAGTGACTGCTCAAATTCAATATATATGAGCCTTTCAAAAAGATAAACAAAATATGAGGACCCATTTGTCTCCCAAACAACAAACAACAAGCAAAAAGAGTTGGAGAAGACAGATAGAAGATGGGAACCCTTGTAGAGGAGGGGGGGGACCACCAGAAATCTTGAATAGAGAGTGAGAAGTTGAGAGAACTACAATAATGCACTAGGAGACTAAGGTAGTTAAAATCAGGATTTTACTTCAAATCGTTAAGGGAAGTAAAAATGTAAATCGTAAAATTGTAAATTGAACTTAAGATTTTACAAAATTCTTATACATATAAGTTCATATTCTGCTTATTTAAATAGCTGAAATTAAAAAAAAAAATATATATCACTAAAAGTACTTAAATAATCCATATTCCATAAAGAGACTATCAAGCATAACCCATAATGTAATAAGTTAAGAATTCAAAATAGTCAAATCACCATTTTTTGATAAATTACAAGGCACAAACACCAAAATTAAATCGGAATACTAACTAGTAATATTCTAAGATGTCTAATCTAACAATTGTGCCACATTAAAATCATAAGGATCCACCATATGGTATTCATCTTCATCTCCATCAACTTCATCATCTAAATTCGGCATATCAACATCATTCTCAATAGCATTCTGTCCAGCTTGGTTTTGGGCCAAGTTCTCATCTCCATCCATGTCCAAATTGTGTAAATCCAAGTCCAACCCTTCAATATCCCCAACATCATTTTCTGCAATCCACTCATCATTAGATAGCTCACGAGCTCTCCTAAGTTGCTTCTTTTTTTACCAATTTTGAATTAGCCATGACAAAGACAACATCAGTATCATTCACAGTCTTTTGCTTCAAGTGATTTCTTCTCTTGGTATGGACTTAAACACATTCAAATATAATTATTATAAGTAATTTGTAGGCTTGCAGATAATTGAAAACAACTTTACTAAAAATTTTACCATCTCAAATATACTCCAATTACGTTAACAATTGATGTTTAGCAATTTGTAGGCTTGCAAATAATTGACAAACTTTTGAAGCTCTAGATATTTATCTCCATATGACTCACCAATCAGTTGGGGTCTTCTTATGAAGTGGCCCTCTAGCCAAGGGGCTACCAAAAAACAATTGATGTTTCTTGAAATCATCAATTTGAACATTAATCTTGGCTTGTTCTTCAATATTAGGCACCATCCTTGTCCTAGTTTAACTTCAAGATCAACTGTAATTCTAGGACTATAATGTAATTCCTATAAAGCTATTTGTCCCATCTATTATCAATGATATTCTGTAGAGACATGTAACTAAAGAATAAATAAAATGGGTTAATTTTCAAACAATGAATAAAAGACCACAAAATTTTAATTTTAACTAAATTTGATAGATAATCAATTACATCTTCCTGATTTCATTGAAAGCAATATGGATGGCTTCTTTAGCTTGGTCCATTGCCTCATAAACAAAGCCCATGGCTGGCTTTTCATCTGAACTAATCAAACGAAGGACTTTAATTAAAGGATATGCACCCTGTAAACAGATTAGAACATTCTTCCAAAACTGGTTGTCCAAAGCAACTTCCTCCACCAATTTAACATTCTTAACAAAGCTCCTTTGTTCTCATGAAGGCACCCCAAAGTTAAATATGAAGTGGCAAATCAAGTGATACCTGGTTTCATCAAATCTTTTCCTTTTGTGAAGCGCTGCAATAATGAAATGAGAGAAGTCCCTTTGGAATTGTTTCCTCATGGAGGGGTATATTTTTCTCAAAGTTTTCCAACATTAGATCAATGTAGTGTGTAGCATAAGGAGTTCAGTATAAATTCCTTCTTTTCTCCATCAACATCTCTCCAAAAACTTCATAGTTTGCTGCATTATTGGTCATAATTTGCACTACGTTTTTCTCACCAACCTCTTCCACAACTTCATCAAGCATCTTGACTATTTTGTTAGCTGTTTTGGTAATGTGGGAAACATCAATTGATTTGAAAAATACTGTACTTTTAGGGCTGTTCACTAAGAAGTTCAGAATAGTTCTCCTTTTGTCAGTCCATCATCTGTTATTATTGTGCAGCCAACACTCTTCCATAAGGTCCATTGTCAACTTCACTTCTTGCTTCAAGTACTCCACTCTAATCTCATGATAAGAGGGTGGCTTAAATCCTGCGCTGTGTCATGCAATTAACTAAGACATGGTAGAAATTCTTCACTTCTTGCAACATTGAAAGCTATGGCATTGTTGTAAAAAAATCTTGCAATTGCTTGACATGCATCCTCCTTTATACTCTTCTTGAAATATGCTGTTTATTGTGGCTTGTGGACTGACACCCCTTTTCTTTCAAAACTATCTAATCCCAACACTCTCAACTTTAGCACCTTCCAGTGGCTTTTCTCTTTTCACCAACTTTTAAAGAGTCATTTTTGTTTGCTGTTTTTTTCATCAAGGAAGTAATAATCTCCATCATTTCCTTATTCACATCTTCAAGAACAGATTTGCAAGGTTCAACATTTTGATTTGTTTTAGCCAAGTGGTGCTTTAAGCGATAAATACCTCCATTTAGTACCTTTTGGCAGAATTTGCATTGAACCTTCACAGTTCTTTTAACTGAAAATCCATATTTCCATCCCATATGACCCCTTTTTCCATGAGCATTCTGGGGAATCAACCTATGAGACACACTTGAAGAGCCCACAGCAGTGGAGCTGTCGGTTGCAGTTGGGAGTGACCTAGAAATGCCACCACCTGAGCTTTGACCACCAGCTATGTTTGAAGCTATTCTCGGACAAGATGAAAAAAAAGAGCAAGAAGAAAACAACTAACAAGTTGTTGTTGCCTTGTCAGTTTGGAGTTCCACGAAGAAAATAGAGCAAGATGAGAAGAAAATAGCTGACAACTAGGATTGGGGCAGAGAAAACCAGAGAGATCGTGAAGAATTCATGATTAAATGCTGTATAGTGCACACCAAGTCACTTTGAGGAGGTCTAGGGTTTGACAAAGAAGAAAAGAAGGATATAAGGACGTGGGACTTCATTGCCTAAACAAAGTTGGGTTAGGCTCGGGTTATAAAGAATTTGAGCTGAGATCCAAATCCAATCTGCATTTTGCTGAAATTGGAAGCAAATCGTGATTTCACCGATTTTACAATCTAAATCACGATTTGACCGCAATTTTACTCTCCTCTGATTTCTCCTATGATTTGCATTGTTTGGCTGACCAAAATTCAACTTCTGATTTTCACTAATTATTAAAATATTGCTCTGTTGAAGTTTGTGAGAGGGCTATTGATAGGAACTAGGTATCTTATTAAGGAGAATTAGGGATGAATCCCAATTACAATACTCACACTGCAGAACTTCAAGGGCCTGCACCTCCCAATGCCATAAAGGCCCCAATTTCCTTTCACCAATTCTCCCCTTCCCTCTTTAATCCCCACTCTTATTTATAGGCAACATGCCTTGTTCAACTAACTCACCTAACTAACCAACTAATGGGAATTAACTAAGTAATCTGTTTAGACAAACTATCAACGGAGTGACCTATCAGCTATGTACTATTTTTATGAGTGCTTTTATTTTACTTAATTATTACTACTCATGAACAGCTTTTGAATGTATTAAGGGAGTAATCATATATTAGTAGAATTTGAAACACTGTTGATAGATTTTTGAAACTAATAATAAACTAAAAGCTATGCTATTTTGCTTTATAAAATTTATCGACTGTTAATCATGATTTACTTCATATTGAGATAATGTCGAAGTGGATTCAGAATGCCCTTAGAACTGGTTGGATGTTGTGCTTTGCAAAATCTGGAATTTTAGTAATAGAGATTGTTCAAATACATTTACGTGTGGTTATCATGGTAGTTAAAATCGGGATGTGAATCGTAAAATCGTAGGATTTTACGATTTATCCCGGCCAAACGATTCAAAGCGCAACAAAAATCGGAGCAAGGTGAAATCACAGTGAAATCGCGATTCAGATCATGAAATCAGTAAAATTCTGATTTGCTGCTAATTTCAGAAAAACATGGGTGGTTCTAGATTTTGGCCCAAATGCTTTATAACCCAAGCCCCATCCAACTTTTTAATTAGGCGTGAAGGAAGTCCCGCATTCTTCTCTTCTTCGTCAAGCCCTAGACCTATTAAGAATGACTTCATGTGCACTGTTAGCAAAAGACGTCTTCTCTTCTTTGCGATTTCTCTGTCCCAACCTACTCATTTGCTATTTTTTTCTCATCTTCCTCTGGTTTCTTCGTGGAACCCTAAACCGAGACCAGACCAGGCGACAGTTTTTAGTGATTTAATATATTTTTTTTAATTTCAGCTGTAGAATATGAACTTACATTCATGTATATATAATTTTTGTAAAATCTTACGATTCGATTTATGATTTTACAATTTACGATTTTTACTTCCCTTAACGATTTGAAGTAAAATCCCGATTTTAACTACCTTGGTGGTTAATTGAGTTATTATGCCTTTATGTTCATTCATAAATAGACATAGTAAATAAATTTGCACAAGTGGTTACTCTTTATTATGCTTGATGAGTGTTGGTGGTGTCATAATATTTATGTAATGGTTAAGATGACAACAACAACAATCAAACTTTATCCCACTAAGGTGAGGTTGACTATATGGATTACATGACGCCATTAAGTTCAGTAAAAAACCAAATCTCTAGAAACATTTTTAATCAATATATTTCTTTTAATAATTTTCTCTAAGGTGTTTTTGGGTCTTCCTCTACTCCTTTTTATTGAACTAAAAGTCATATCATATACTTGCTTTATTGATGCTTCCAATGGTATTCTTTGCATGTAACTAAACCACCTTAGATAGTTTTAAGTCATCTTTTCCACTTTAAGTACTACTCCGATATTCTCACGTATACAATTATTCTTATCTTCTCCTTTTCTCGTGTGACATCTATTGTAATATTTTTATTTCTGTCACTTCCATTTTTTTACTTGTGTTGTTCCATTAAAGCCCAACATTCACTACTGTATAGGATAATGTGTCGTATTGTAATATGATAAAACTTTAACTTCAGCTTAATTTGTACTTTATGGTTATAAATAACTCTCAATACCTTTCTCAATTTTAACCATCGAGCATATATTCTATAGGGTAAAGCCCAAGACATAAAAGAGTAAATTTTGCAATGGAATATTCTCTTTTTCTTTTTTTTGTTTACATTTGGAGATGACATTTAAACAAAGTATATTGTTTTTAATTATCATTTCTTGTCGTTTGTTTGGCCATTGTTTGTTGATATAATTATTTGAGAGATGGCTGTCTTTTATTCACAAGTAGATTAGATGCTTCATAAATTCCAGATCAAAACCTTTTGTTATTTATTGTTTCATGTGTTATGGTTCTGTTCTGGGAGATTTGAAATGCTATAATTTATTTCCTTTTTTCTATTTTTTCTTAACTAATTGGTTTATTTACTTTTCGTTGTTTTGAGATATTTGTTATTGATGATTAAACGTGTTGGGTTTTGGTCAGGAAACAAGCAAAACTTTGGATGGACAAAGTCCTGAAAAACATGCTGCACTTAACGTGCATGCATATGCTTTAAGATTTTTAAAGACTAATAGATCTCATGGAATTTCCTCTCAAGCAGAAGCACCAACAACACCTGAAAAGATATTTGACTCGAGCACTGTTGACATGTCATGGGATGAGCATCTTAATGAGGTATCTAACAAATTGTTTTATTTTCTTATTAAAATATTTATTTTAACATTAGCTTTGCATCTCTGTCTTGCTCACTCTGTATATGTGATTACTTTGGTATTTGAGATAGAAAGAAAGCTAGAAATCTTTTATTGAAGGAAGAACAAAATCTCAGTTCTGTACTCAATTTGAGTGCGGACTGAAAATGATGCCAGCAAGTCAAATCTCAGAGAAATTAAAGAGACCTTGGACTCTCCTAACTGTCTTACAATCTTCTGCCCATAACACCTAATTCTTGAACATACAGTGGCCCCCTTAACTGACTGTAACAAACCTCCAAACTAAATGCAGCTAACTAATATCAATTACAATTGGCCCTCATTATCCACTGGTTCGCTTCTCCTCCTAAAATAGACCTGTTTTATTATTGGTTTGCTAACAGTACATGATTGTGTCACATGTTTATTTGCGACATGTTACTGCTAAATGCAATATTCATTTTGAAGTCCACTGGACATTGTTTTCTAATCTAATTTATTATATAGTTTTGGATTTTTGTGAAGTACTTTTGCAATTATTTTGTTATAATTGATGTAAGATTGTAAGCAAGCAACTATTTCATATGTATTTAAAATTACAGGAACGTCTTTTCTATGAAGTTCCTCCCACTGCAATGGAAACATACAGAAAATCTATTGAATCTCATTTCCTACAGTTTGAGGTAAACTGTGCCCACAGCTGCTCAGCTACTTAATTATCACAAAAAAGAAAGAGATGCTCGCTTAATATCTTTTACTCCCTCCTAAATGACAAAGCTGTTGCAGGAGTGTGTTTTATTCTTATTGGTTGAAATATTTATTTATGTAAATGAGTTTTTATTTATTTATTTTTGACATATTGGGTCAATAATCTAAAAATTTTCAGAAAACTGGAAGTATCACTCAAGAGGAAGTTGAAACATCCGTCTATGATACTGCAGCAGGTACTATTGAAACTACTTGCATTGTTTGGATTTTTTAGGACATTGTTGATTACTCAGAAACCCATCACTACTTTCTTTTGTCCATTGAAATAGAATTTGGTTCTGAAGAGAATGCATATGATGAGGAAGAAGGAGAAACCAGTACCTATTACTTGCCTAGTGTTTATGAGGGCAACAAATCATCAAAATCTGCACATAAGAAACATAAAAACTTGAAGTCGTACGCTCATAGGTGTGGTGATTCTGGTACTGATTTGCCTTATGTGCACTATACAACTGGTACTCAACCATCCATGGTGTTTGGGAAAAGACCTGCTGGTTTAAATGTTGGGCCAGTACCAACAAAACGCATGCGAACTGCTACTAGGCATAGAGTTTTAAGTCCTTTCACTGGCAACATGGGGATGATACAGGCTCAAGCTAAGGCAGATGCTTCAAGTGGCGATACCAATTCCTTTCATGAGGAGCAGATACATGTTGGACCCCTGATCCAGCAAAGTATGGAGGTGGAGTCGGTTACAGATTTTGAGAAACAGTCATCTTATGACTGTGCAGAAACATCTGTTAAAACAAAGAAGAAGAAGAAGGCAAAGGCTTTGGTAATCATCAATTTGTATTTATGTAACTCTAAGGCTGCTTATAAAAAAAAATATGCAACTCTAAGGCTTGCTTATTTTTCAGATGTGGAGGTATATTTTTATTATTTCAAAATCTCTATTTGCTTAACTATTATTTCTGCAGGGTTCTACATATGACCAGGGATGGCAGTTGGATTCTATTCTAATTGAACAGGTAACCTTGTTTTAGGCCAAATTTCCTTAATGTAATATTATGAGCCTTACTATTTCAACATTATGAAACAAAACTTGAATCGGGCAGTAAATTTCTTTCAAGTATTTTTAAGTATGTACAATTAACATGAAGCTCAAATTTTGGCATGATTAATAATATTTAGATTCTGTATATATGCTGCAAAGTTATAGTTGTGGAAATTCCATAAGACAGATTTAGTTTTGCTAACTCATTGGTTATTGTGATCTGAGCAAAGCAAATACTTTTTGGATCTTGCCATCTTTAGCTTGTAGAAAAAATGGTCTAATGCTTTGTAGTTTTGACTAAATGAGAAAGTAATTGTTTGACTTCTCCCCCTCTGTTTATTATTTGGATGGATGTGCCAAATTTTGAAAGTTCCTTGATGTTGGGAGTAAATTATTGGCTAATTCTTTGTGGGAGCTTGTGATTCAAAAGAACTTTCTTAAAAGGATAGAAAGGGTGCCTTTCTTTCCCCTCATTATTTTGGTGCTGGTATAATCAGTAAGCCTATCCTTTTCCAGAGCTGCTGGTCCCTCTCCTTCATTTCCTTTCTTGTTTTGGGATTATGGTAGGAATGGAGTAGACAATCAAGAAAATTATGAGGGATTTTCTTTGATCTTAAGGAATTGATGACTGGATAGGGCCCAAAAGAAAGGGGGTTAGGATCTTTGGAATTAGGTCTTCCAGAGATGTTATGATAGACAAATGACCTTGCTGTTTTATTTAGATACTACAGTTTGGCAGCTGGTAATTTGAGTAGGCATGCTTTTAATGAGAATCAATGTGATTCCAACCATGTTATCACTTGTCACTGAAACTTCTCCATGGTTCCCTGGAATATGAATCTTCGGATAATTGGATTATGCTTCTTGTATACAAATATTCACTGATATCGTAGGGTTTTGGTGAATGGTGATAGTTTGCATAATAAAGTGAGGAGAACATTATTGTACAGAATAATAGTCCTGCCTCAAAGTATGTTCCTTGCCTAGTTTTTCTTTACATGAACTTCCAGTCTGAAATTTTTATTAGATTTTAGGACCCTTAACTCTTTAATGGTCTTGGAATTTTATCTTCTTTTGAAACTGAGTGATAGAGATATTTGGCAGTGGAATCTCACTTCTATTGTTTCTGATTGAGCTGGTTCAAAAATGATGGGAAGAACTGGAAACTGTATTGAAGACAAAGCTCAAACTCTAGCTCAATATCAGATTGATATATGAACTGAGCTAGAGATGTGAATACAGAAAAACAGAAAGTATCCCTCCCACTGCTGTAATTTTCTAAATCCAAATCTGAAGTGCTTCACTAACTCTCCCTCCTTTCTATTTATACAAGTCCTCCCTATATTATAATTTATTGTCTTCTAGACAGTTACAATCTCTCTTACTGTCTTCTGGACAGTTACAATCTCAGGCTATACAAATGAGGGCTAAGCTTTTCATTTGGTCGTTTAGGCAATGATTAAAGCCTGTAAAGTGGCAACTTCAGAAATACCCAATCTCTCTGTAGCTTCTCTTGTAAAAGCTGGCTGGATGTTTATATGAGCAATATATCAGTGAATAATTGAAAAGGAAATTTGGAATTTTAACTTACAATTGTTGCTAATATTTTTTTTATTGTATTTTTATTTCTCCCTAATGATGCAACTTCTGAAATTTTAAAAGTTATAAGAATTCTAAAATGACTTGGATAACTTGTATCTTTCAAAACGTTAACCTTCTCAAATCAATATGCTAAGTTTTATATTTTTTTCCTATGATAATAAGCCTTACAAAAAAAGTAAGAGACATTGTTTTTTACTACATTATCTTTTAAGCTATTTTTCTTAAAATTATATATATATATATATATATATATTAATAATACTAGAGTGTGCCCATCTATTTTTAAGTGTCAACTCAAGTGTCTAAGCCATACGGAGGTTTTAATTGGATTCCTAATAAGGAGTGGTTGACCTTGTCGAACAAGTGTGTAAGAAGTTTTGGTATCAAATGTATGTAGCACCATGACACTTCAAACAAGAGGTGTTTGTGCTTCATAGCAATGACGTCTTTGACAAATTGATTAGGATGAAGGGAAGATTGGGAATCCTCCTGAGCTAAAGTACAAGTTGGAAAATAACAAAGAAAAAAGGTAAAATCAATGGGACAAAGCTGCCCAATCCCTACAATATCTGGGAAATTCCATTGGAAAGGCCATGTGCATTTGCAGTGGAAGAAGCCAAATGCCTAACCTTTATCCCAAATCAAGTATTGTGCATTGAATTGGGTGCTTGTCAGTAGAGTATTTATAGTTGTATAGAAATCTATCCATATAATCCAGTACTTAGGACTTGTGTCGCTCAACTATTGAAAAATTTGCCACTCCAATGGCAATTATGTAATTTGTTATAAAGCACGGTCATTGTTAAGATTCCCACATTGGTTAAGAATAGAGCCAAAATACTCCTTATAAGGACTAAGATAGTCCTCTTCCTATGAGTTAGCTTTTGGGAGTGAGTTAGGCCTAAGTTTCTTAACAGTCATTTTGTTTTTTTACAATTTGTGGAGTTTTTCTTGTGCTGTTTTATGGATGCTTCTCTAGTTTTAAGTAAAACTGGGAATTACTTAAGTACAATTATTAAGACAGCGACTCTTATCACTTTTTGGCACGTCAAAAGGTTGTCTCTGTCTTTGTTTTTCTTCGTTTTTGGAAAATTAGAAAGTTATAACAATTTGATCCTAGGATTGCTACCTAGACCTCCAATTTTCTGCAGGTATTTCTAAATTTACTGTATACACTGTTTATGACTATTATTTTCTAATGGTGTTTTCTAAATGCAGAGGGATCATTCCAAGAAGAGAGTGGATAGTCATCACTTCGAATCTAATGGAAACAGTGGTAAAACTAGCTATTTTATCATGGATCTAGAAACATGTCTTATTACAGTTACAATTAAACCAGAATGCATTGACAGTGTAGAAGTTTTACACTGTCATCCAATCATAGATTGTCATATCAATGAGAATGACTGATTCTTTTAATAATTAATTTAAAAGTCATATCCATCATGTATTATTTTACATTGACAATGCATCAAAATTAAATCTTACAATTAATATTAGTATTCTATTTTCTTCATGCTTTACATTTTTAACTGTCTTGTTCTGAAGGCTTGTATGGGCAACATAATGTGAAGAAGCCGAAGATAATGAAGCAATCACTTGATAATCCTTTGGACAATGTTGCTCCAATGACTAATTCTATTCCTTCCCCTGCTGCTTCACAAATGAGTAACATGTCCAATCCCAATAAATTTATTAAGATCATTAGTGCACGAGACAGGGGCAGGAAAGCTAAAGCAGTGAAGGTCAATTTTGATGTGAATTTAGATAGTCATTTCTAGCAAATTTTCTTTCTGTTATTTATATTTTTTTTATTTTTTGCTAATAGATTTCTGCTGGACAGCCTGGTTCTGGAAGTCCTTGGTCACTATTTGAAGATCAGGTTGTTTGGAATTCATTTGCTTTATTATTATTTTTTTCTTTTGTTCTCTTTAATAAATATTTTAGACCTGAAAATAACTGGGTTTTGTAAAAGGCTTACCCTTACTGTTCTACCTGTTGCAGGCTCTTGTGGTCCTGGTGCATGATATGGGTCCAAACTGGGAGCTTGTAAGTGATGCCATCAACAGTACTCTCCAAATCAAGGTAATTATACCCAAATATGGGTTTTATAAGAAAAGTGTCATGGTTGCAGGACCTGTTTTATTACCTTGTCACATTCCATTGCTGAAAAATTTCATCTTCAAAAGATATTATTATATTGACACCCACCGATTGCACCTCCTGCTTCATAGGACAGCTTTACACATAACTTAGAAAAAAATTTCAGTAATTGGTAGTTACATAACTTGGAAAAAAATTTCAGTAATTGGTAGTACTTTGGTCAGGTGTACTGTGCACATTTACTGTATCTTTTGAAACTGATGCAATGTTCATTATGAATTTAAATGCTGACATTTTATTTAATTTATGATTTGGTGTTGGCATTTAATCTGTATTTGCTGATAGCATGACATTTTACAATATTTCCAGTGTATCTTTCGGAAACCAAAGGAATGCAAGGAACGTCATAAAGTTTTAATGGATAGAAGTGCTGGGGATGGGGCAGATAGCGCTGAAGATTCAGGGTCTTCACAGTCTTATCCATCTACGTTACCTGGAATTCCTAAGGCATTGTTTTCTTTTAATCATTTTTCATTGTTTATTATATTTGGATGCATTGGGGGAACCCCATGGTTGACCTACATTTTGCAGCTTTGATTAAACAGATCTTTCGAATGATGTATCTTTAGCAGGGTAGTGCCAGGCAGTTGTTTCAGCGTTTGCAAGGGCCAATGGAGGAGGATACACTGAAATCTCATTTTGAGAAAATTATAAAGATTGGGCAGAAGCAACATTACCTTAAGAATCAGGTTTGAATCCAAAGTATTTTTATCAAGACAGATTCCAGGATGCAGTGACATTTAGAAGTGGTATTCCTTTTATGCTAACCACTAATGTCAGTGGTTAAATCAGATGATTAGTGGTTAATTGGGGAAATAGAACTTAAGTGATAGATGATTACTTATAGTGCTTTTAATGTGGATTAGTGCAATTTCTGCATGGATAAAATGTTGTTGTTGTGTATGATTATGAATCAGTTCATAAGCCAACTGTATTGTAGAGCTGTTATATTTTTATCTATGATGACCTTTATCTTCCTTTAAATCCTTATCATAGTCAACCTAGGTATCAACTTCTAAGGGCTTGTTTGGTTTCTAATAATGTTTTCTGTTATCAATTTTAATTACAAAAGTGCCACCTTGTCTTCATCCTGCTTCCTGTTTTCTAAGATTTGAACAGGAAACAGTGAAAACAGAATAACATTCTGGTGAATTCACTGTGAAATTGAGTGGGAAGGAGAGATTTTGGGGCTCTAGGAAGCAAGGTACTTAAAATTGAGATTTTACTTTAAATTGTAAAGGGGAGTGAAAATCATAAATCGTAAATGGTATTGTAAGATTTTACAAAATTCATATATAAGCATATAAATTCACATTATGCATATAAAATACAATAATTAGGGAAAAAATCCTTTAAATCAATAAACGCACTTAAACAAAGTAGCACTCACAAATCATAATTCATATTCCATAAGTTGGCATGAGTAAAAAATAGATCAGAACAGAAAAGATGCAAGAACAACAGCACTAGACTCAAATTCAGCAGTAGCACACTGATGGGTTGAGTTACAGACCAGGCTGCACACACCAAGAGGACTGTTGAATGTTGACAACAGTGTGAGGGTTCAAAGCTGCTAGGGGCAAATTGGGTTTGATAAAAGGAGATATGAAAGAGGTGTCAACTACATTAGGGTTCAACAAGAGGCTTTTTGAGGAATTTTCAGAATCAAAGTGATATTGTAAAATCCCATGATTTGAAGAGGGATTTTACGATTTAAATTGGGATTTTACAATGATTTTTCTCAATCAAGATTTTACAACAACCAAGCCTTATCCACTAGGTGAGGTCAATTACATGAATCATACGACGCTGTTGTGCTTGGTCAAAAACTAAATTTTTAGAAATCTGGTTAATCAAAAAGTCTCTTTTAATAAATTCGTTTAAGGTTCTTTTGGGTCTCTCTCAACCCCTCTTTAATCCACTTTCCTTACTGGCGCCTCTAAAGGTCTTTTCTGCTCATGACCAAATCACATAAGATGATTTTCAGTCATCATGACTTGTCCATTACAAGTGTTACTCCAATATTCTTTAGTATACTTAATTTTGTATCTTGTCTTTTTTCGTTTGTCCACTCTTCCACCTTAGCATTCTCATTTTTGTCACTTCTACTTTTTTCTCATGTTGTTCCTTTAAGGCCCAGCATTCACTACCATAAAGGATAGCTAGTCGTATTGTCGTGCGGTAAAATTTTCCTTTTAGCATGATAAGTACTTTACAGTCACAAATAAATCTTGATGCCTTTTTCCATTTTAACTACCAAGCTTGTATTCTGTGAGTAACATCATTAATTTTCCCACCATTTTGTATAATTGATTCCAAGTACTTGAAATTGGAAACTTATGGTACAATATCATCTCTAAGTTTAATTTTAAATGCATGATTCTCATCTTGTTTTTTGCTAAACCTACAATATATGTACTCTATCTTACTTTTACTCAAGTGAAAAACTCTTTGATTCCAAAGTCTCTTCCTCCCAATGATATCAATGGCAGATGGCGGCTCTTGGCATAAACCAAAAAAACTGCCATGAAGTTATGGCGGCCGCCATGAGGGGTTATGGTGGATATAATAAAATATATATAAAAAATACTATAGGTCACAAAAAATAATAGAAAATAATTAACTCAAAATACATGTAGCATAACCCACAATCCAAAGCATAATTCAATACAAAATATGCAATTATCAAATGTCAAGTTAACAATAAAAACAAAGATTATCAATTTAGTCCTCTTCTTCAACTTCAACATAATCGTCTTTTTTCTCATCCATCAAGGCATATCCCTTCTCTTCTCCCTCAGATTATGGAAGATTAATTTGTAATTCATCTTCTGTTTCTTCCGACATTTCTTCATCTTCTAATTTCTTCATCATCATCTTCAATCACTATTTTCTCTTTTTTTTTTGTGCTGTTGAACATGTCTTGATCTTGGAAATTTTTGCAGCTTTGATAGTGATACCACTTGATGGACTCTTTCTTTTCTTAGAATGACGCTTAGTATATGGTGTAGGATGTCCAATTCCAGAAGCTTCATAAACAGTTGCCCAATTTGAAGTGTTATCACCATAAAAAACTAACACATTTCCAGCATTTTCATTATGAGCATCATCATCCATTTCTCCAACCAACTACTCATTACACTTATCAATATTATTAAGTGTAATTAGATCAATTACATCTTTAAGATTGTAATATTTTTTGAGTCAGTGGTTATATTTCACATAAACCAAGTCATATAATTTTTTGTGATCAAGCCTATTCCTCATCTTTGAATGAATTTACAACGTGAGTTTAATTAAAAAATTAGTTTCTTTCTAATTTCTAGAAGAAAGTAGTAGGCTTAATAGATAAGAAATTACTTGCTGAAAAACACTCTAGTTGCTTTTCCATTAGGATGCACTACATGTCAAGCTCAAAATTTTTATAGCTAGTTGTTGCAAATGTGGAGATGTCCATACATTCTCCACCATTGAGCTATAAAATAAAAGATAAATTATAACTCTAAATATGAATTATAACCTTAAAATTAAAATGTTGAAAATTTTGATGAATTACCAAGAGCAATACTTTTTCCTTGTAATTTTGCAAAGTCGGACCCAAAAAGACCACCACCACTCTCATAAATTGGTAATTCAAGAAGTATGCTTTGTTGCATATCCTGACATGGCACTAACCTCTTGATAAAATCATACAACCCATTTGTAACTTCCAAATCAAATTTTATTTGAGGGTTGTCATGATAGAATTTCGGGTTTAAAATGTGACCAACTGCATTTAATGGACGGTGAAGCTAACAAGTCCATCTCTTATCAATAATTGCAAACTCATCTTTGTATTTGCTTTCACTATTTTTGAATGAATTCATAATAGCTTCTTTACCTTTCTTCATTGTTTCATAAATATACCCCATGACTGGTCTTCTTTCCCCATCAACCAAATGAAACACCCGGACAAAAGGAGCCATGATTTTCAAAATATATATCACATTATTCCAAAATGCAGGATTTAATAGAACTTTTATTGCTTGCTTTCCTTTAGCTTCCTTTTACACCACTCCTCAGAAGTAAACATCTTTCTAAGATTTGTTTTTTCTTGATGAAGTCTTTTTAATGATAGAAAAGAAGTTGCAAATTTATTAACTGCATGTCTCACCAAGTCCCTCTTGTTTGTAAAATTTTTCAACAAACTCAAGGTACTTGAATGACTGTAGATAAAGCCAACAACCAATATTTTCCTTTGAATTGTCTTATTTATCAAAGGAAGCTTTTCAATATTTTCAAGCATAAGATCTATGCAATGAGCTGGACAATGAGTCCAATAAAGATGTCTTTTTGCTTCCAACATCTTTCCAGCTAAGACATAATTGCTTTCATTATTTGTTGTCACTTGGACAACTTTATCTTCTCCAATCTCCTCCACAAGAGCATCAAGCATATCAAATAATTTTTCACTGGTCTTTACAAAATTAGATCCCTGAATGGACATCACAATCATAGTCTCAGCAGGAAAATTGACCAAGAAATTAATCAAGTATCTTTGTTTTCGATCGGTTCATGCATCTGACATGATGGAACAGCCATGTTTGCTCCATTACTCCTTATGATCTTTCATGAGAGAATCGGTATATTCTAGCTCTTTCTAAAGAAGTGGAACTCGAATATCATGATAATTTGGAGCTGATAAATTTGGACCAAAAGCATCAACAGCTGTAAACATTTCTTTGAAGCTCGTCATTTTAACAAGTTTAAAGAAAAGGCCAGCCTGATACCAAAATCGAGCTATGTATTGATGGACCCTTGCTTTGGTTTCTTTGTTACAAACTTCTTTTCTATTTGCTTGTCTCAATTTTAACTTTTTCCTTTTCTCAATTGCATTTTTTGGCTTTCTACAAAACACATCCATTGGCCCTTTCTGATTACCCATGTCAATACTGTGTTTGGGTATCCTCCTCAAATCCTCACTTTCATCATAGCCTATACTTTCAAAGCTTCTCACATTTGGCATCTCAAAGTTATTTTTACTTTTTTTATCCTTTTGATATGCCATAATCCCTTTTCTAACTTCTTCAAGACACTTGGGGCAAGCTTTCACGTTACCTTTCTTTCCAATCAAATGTTTCACTTTAGTGATTCCAGCACTCATAACTTTCCCACAAAAGTTATATACAATATTGTTTGTATCATCCTCTTTCAATGAATGAACATATTTCTATCTTGGGTCAGATCAATTAGAAACTTGATAATGAAGATTCTTGTTGAGCCATGTTAAGAGAGGCTAAAATATAGAATTTTTTTTTTTTTGAGAAAAAACAGAGAAAAAACAGACATGTGGAAGAGGGAAAAATTGAAAAATGGAAAAGGTAAAACTGAAATGAGGAAAATAAAGAAAGAAATGGCTATTGGAAAAAATGGGGTCCCCAGAGGTGGAGGATCAGTCGCTGGAAATGGAGGTTGAGGTTGCCGGAGATGGAGAACATAATAGTGACATCCAGTAGAACAAATAACAGGTGAGATCTTAGATGAGTGCAGATCTACGTCAGAGAAGACAGAGATCGGAGAAGATGAGGGTAGAAAAAGTCGGAGATAAGCAGAGAATAGAGAGATTTGAGATGAGGGAGAAGGGTTTTGAGTGACGAAGAAAAGGGACTTACCTAAGTTTTCTTCGCGTATCATCCTTGGACTGGGTCAAGTTTGGGCTCAAATCACGCAAACTGCCATTTTTCACGGTTTTCCGCCATGGCTGTTGTTACCGCCATGCGCGTAACGGCCACCATGGCGTTGCCACACAAAAAACCCATATAACGGAAGCGGTGTAACAACGGGGTTAAAAATTGCTACCACAATCTGCCATAGTGCCGCCATTTGACAACACTGCCTCCTCTATGACTCAAGTTTAACATTAATCTCTTTTTTTGAATCCTTAACCAATACTATATCATCTACAAATAACATGCACTGAGAGATAATCTTTTGCATGTCATTTGTAAGCACATTTAAAATAAGATTTAACAAGTAACGGCTCAAAGTGGAGCTTTGATGTAAACCTATTTCAATTGAGAAATCTTTAGATATGCCTCTAGAAGTTCTCACACATGTAGTTACCCTTTTATACATGTCTTGTATAGCTTGAATATGATAATGACCTGAGCATGTAGTGGGTGATGAAGCTGACACTCCCATCTTCTATCAATTACAGCAAAAATCTCCTTATACTAGTCTTCATTCCTTTCAATGCATTTTTAATGGTTTCTTTAACTCTATCAATCGTTTCATGTATGTAGCCCACATTGCAGGTTTTGTCTCATTATCAACAAACCTCAAAACTTGCACAAGAGGCCCCATAGCCTTAAGGGTGAAAACATCATTCCAAAAACAAGGCATAAGCACACACTGTTTGTTGCCCTTTTTCTTTTAGCTTCTTTGGCTGTTTTGGACTTTAACCATTCATCGGAAGTGAACAATTTTTTAAGGCTATTTTTTTTATCATGTAACCTTTGTAAAGTGAGGGATGTTGTCACAAATCTTGTTACTCCATATCTGACCAATTCAGATTTATTTGTGAACCTCGTCATAATATTCAAAGTCAATGAATGATTATAATTAAGCCCACAAGATTAACTGCTCTTTGTATTGTTTTCTTGACTTTTGCTGTTTTTCTAATGTCTTCCAACATCAAATCAATACAGTGTGTAGTACATGGAATCAAAAATAAATGTTGTCTTTTAGCTTGTAACAACTTACCTAAAATAAAATTGCATAGTTTAAAATTAAAAACTAATAAAATAAGAATACAAATTGTTAAAATGAAATTACTTGAGAGTTGAGAACAATTCTTACTTGGTAAGATAGTTACTTCCATTTTCAGTGACTACTTACACAACTTTTTTTTCTCCAATCTCCTCAATAAAACAATTTAAGAGCTTAAACAACTCTTTTCTGGTTTTCATATAAGCAGATGCATCAATGCTCTTCACAAATATAGAACTAGTTTGACAATTTACTTAGAAATTGATCAATGTCCTATTTTGTTTATCCGTCCACGCATTTGACATAATTGAATATCCACACTTTTCTCTTTCTTCTTCATGGCTTTTCAACATTTTCTTTGTGTATTTTAACTACTTTTTAAAAAGAAAAAATTCTACTTGAATATTTGAATTTCTTGCACCTCTTATTCCTCATCATCATCTTCATCAGGCTGAACTAAATATGCCTCTTTCTCAACTTACTTCTTCTCATGAGCTGTTATTAGTGTTTTTTTTATTTCTTTGGGAAACCTTGGACAGCTATCAGCATCTCTCTCTTCACTCCCATCTGATGTCTCTTCGGGTAATACTACCAATAGTAGTTTTTTCACAAAAGTCACAAGTCATAGACTTTTTATTATTTAATGTCTTTCAAACTATTCCATTGCCAACCTATATCCAAATTATTACATGTTGGCTTCACCAATGCATAGGAAGAAATTGAAACAAAGGTAGTTCCTTGTGATTGATTGGCAAGAGCAGCCATTGCTTCTTTTTTAGGCATTGAAATTTGAAACAAAATAAAGCAAGAAAATCAAAACAAAGTAGGATAATGAAAAATAGAAAAGGAAAATGGAAAATAGAGAATGGTCGGTCACTGGAAAACGTTTTAAGTTTGTTGGAAGTTTGCTGGAAAATGTTTGGGTCATGGTGGAAGCTTTGCTGTAGTTGAAGAATGACCCAAAGACGTCTGAGTCACGTCGGAAGCTTCACCAAAGATGAAGAAGGACCCCGGAAGCAGGAGGATGTCGCAGCGATTGAAGATGAAAGATAGAATGAGAGAGAAGAACTAAGAGATGAGAATGAGCTTATGGCTAGCTTGACAAGGGAGAAGAAGATATTAGAAATGTAAACAGGCAGCAAAATCCGAAGATTGCCCTCCTTAAAAGTTGCCAAACTTTCAGAAAAGGAGGGTAAAATAGGGATTTGACCTAGGATGAAATAGTAGCCAAGATGGTTGCTCTGTTGTGTTCTTGACCATAATTCGCAATGCAACAACCACTATAGTGAAACACGACGTGATGATGATGGGATAGCAGCACCCTGTCACTCTGCTCTGCACCTCCGCTAGCAGACGTTATTGACTACTATGGTTTTAATGGGGGCAAGAAGCTCAAGAAGCCTTTGAGAAGTTGAAGAATGCAATGACTGCACTACCTATCTTTGCAGTCCCAGATTTTTCTAAGTCATTTACTATCAAAACTAACGCCTCAGTGAAAGTTTTTGGAGCTGTCCTGTTTGAAGAAGGGAGATTACTAGCCTTTTGGAGTGCCACATTGTCTGAAAGTGCTCAGAAGTTTGTCTATGGGAGAGAGCTTATGGGTGTGGTGCACTGTGACATCATTATTTACACTGTCAGCACTTTATCATCAAAACAAATCAAAGGAGGTAGAAGTTTGACTGAACAGACACTAGTGACTGGAGTAGTTTTGCTGGGCCCCACAACACATTGATTATGACTTTTAAATTCAATATATAGCAGGGAAAGATAACTCTGCTGCAGATTGCATTCCACTCTCTGGGAGAGCAACTTTTGCAGCGATTTCAGTTCTGCAGTTTGATGATTTAAAGGATTGGCGGATGCTCTCAGAAGAATGATACTAGACTTCATCACTGGCCCTAATTCACATACTGGATATTTAGTTCAAGGATCAGAAGTTGTTTTGTAAGGGCTGATTGGTTCTACCAAAAGGTTAATCTACAATTTCAGACTTAATCAAACAATATTTTTGCTGCTTGCCAATAGGAGGGTGCTCAGGATACTTCAGGACCTTCAAAAGACTGGATGATGTAGTGTTTTGGGCAGGAATGAAGCATGACATCAAAGATTTTATAGCTGTTTGTCACACAAGTCAGAGATACAATTATGAAACTATGGCCCCAGCAGGATTGATTCAACCCCCCTCCACAGTTCCTACTCAAGTATGGGTTGACGTTATGGATCTTATTTGTTGCCTACCTAATAGGGACAAAATCCTAATAGTGGTCACATGATGCCATCCTTTTAAAGCTAGTGAAGTGGCAGCACTCTTTCTTAAAGAAGTGGTCTGTTCAGGCTTTGTGGATTCTCTTCCTTTGTAGTTTCAGATAGGATTTGTCTGAGTAATTTTTGGAAGGAATATTTCAAGGAAACTTGTTAGTTAAAATTTAGCGGGCATATTGATAGTACAACTTTAGTTTAACCTTTTTTTTTTGGATAGTACAACTTTATTTAAACCTTTTTATTGGAGCTATTCCTTTGATTTCCCATGACATACTGATTTGGGACAGCTTGATTACTGCTTATTGGTCTTGTTACTTCTGAAGAATGTTTTCTCCATTGAGCAGAATTGTAGCTACATAAATTCAAATTGGCCCATTTTATCCTTAGTCTATATGTATGATTCCTAATAGAATGTCTTTTGTTTTAATGCAGATTGATAACCAGGATTCAAAACAATTAATGCCTGTCCATAATTCACACATGATTGCTCTTTCCCAAGCCTGCCCCAACTACCTGAATGGAGCTGTTTTAACGTAAGTTTACTTTTATCTTATTTTTTGGGTAATATGGAAATATTTACAACTCTGCACTCTATTGCATTGTCTACTATGCTCATTTAACAGTAGTTGGGTTTACCTTTTAATTTAAAATTTTGGTAAGCCTGATTAGTGTGGTTGGCACAAAAATTTAATTTATGTTTGAATCCTGGATGTAGGCCACTTGATCTCTGTGATACAAATTCAAGCTCAGATGTCCTAGCCTTTGGATATCAGGGTTCTCATGCTGCTGGTTTGGGATTATCAAGTCAAGGTTCTGTTCCGTCAATGCTTCCTACATCTGGCGTGAATTCTTCACTACCTGGGACTTCTGGTATGGTTCTTGGCAATAACCTGTCATCATCATCTGGTCCGATTACTGCCTCTGTCAGGTATGCACTTTTTATCGATGGAGATTATTGATGTGCAATTATATATTGTGCATTAACATCATTTGTTTTTCTACACATAATTAATGCATTTGTGTCAGGGATAGTAGATATGGGATTCCAAGAAATTCACCTTCATCAGTGGATGAGCAGCAGAGAATACAATACAATCAATTGTTATCTGGAAGAAACATCCAGCAGAGCATGTCTGGGACTCTTTCTGGAAGTGATCGGGGTGTTCGCATGCTTCCTGGTGGAAATGGTATGGGTTTAATGAATGGAATTAACAGAAGCATGTCAATGGCCAGGCCAGGGTTTCAAGGAATAGCATCACCATCGATGCTTAATTCTGGAAGTATGCTTTCCTCTAATATGGTGGGAATGCCAAGCCCAGTAAATATGCATCCTGGACAAGGGAACTCAATGTTACGACCTCATGAAACTCTACATATGATGAGGGTGAGAAATGTTCTTTTTCCATCCTTTTAGGATTCAATTGATTCTGTAGTGTTATTTAATATTTGGACTGGCTTATATCTATTTCACAAAGGCTTATATTATAATCAAACTGCCAGAGAGAGAATTTGATCAAAAAGCCTTTTTTTAAAAAACTTAGCAAAATGCTAAAATTAAAAATGTGCTTAATTGGTGTTTCACCTTGTGACTATAAAACTTATATCCCAACCAGCTTTGCATCCTTGTTTTCACTTCAACTGTAGTGAGGCAGTGGCCTCGCTTGGGCTTTGTAGGAGATTGGTGTATTTGTCAATATATGTGGTGATTTTATTTCAATTCTAATGATGACATTTTCCTCATCGACATTAGCCTGGCCATAACCCAGAACATCAAAGGCAAATGACAGTTCCAGAGCTTCAGATGCAGGTCACCCAAGGGAACAGTCAAGGTATTCCTGCTCTGTGTGGGCTGAGTTCTGCCTTTAGTAATCAAACAACTCCACCTGTTCAGCCTTACCCAGGACAGGCCACGCAGCCACACCAACTGTCCCAGCAACAATCCCATCTCAGCAATCCTCGTCCTCATCTTCAAGGTCCAAGTCAGGCCTCTAATTCACAGCAACAAGCCTATGCTGTCCGGCTGGCAAAGGAAAGGCAACTGCAGCAACAGCAGCGATATCTGCAGCACCAGCAGCAGCTTGCTGGATCAAATGCATTGATGCCACATGTCCAGGCACAGTCTCAAATTCCCATATCCTCATCACCGTTGCAGAACAGTTCCCAAGTTCATCCACAAAATTCTTCTCAGCAAGTACCTCTTTCACCTGTAGCACCATCTTCACCTTTGACTCCCTTGTCATCTCAGCACCAACAGCCACAACCTGGATTCAGCAGGAATCCTGCTGCTGGTGTGTTGACTAATCAAGCAGCAAAGCAGCGGCATCGACAGCCACCACAGCAGCAGCAGTATCAGCAGCCTGGTAGGCAACACACCAATCAGCGGCATAATGTACAGTCTCAACACCAGGCAAAACTTCTAAAGGGAGTGGGAAGAGGAAACATAATGGTCCATCAGAACCTCCCTGTGGATACTTCTCATCTAAATGGACTCTCTCGGCCTGTGGGAAGTCAAACTGGTGAAAAAGGGGACGAAATCATACACATGATGCAAGGTCAAAGTTTATACCCTGGACCTGGTTTGAACCCAAATAACCCATCAAAGCCCTTGGGTCATGCCCATTCTTCAAACTATTCACAGTTGCAGCAGAAGGTACATTCTGGATCAACAACCACTTCATCAAAACAACCTCATATTCCTTCCGATACTAGTTCTCAAGGGCAGGTTTCACCAGTTTCATCCAGTCAGTTGTCACCTCCTCAGCCAGCTGTTATTGCTTCTAGCCACCATCAGCTGCCATTACAGATTCAGCCTCAGTCTAAGAAAATTATTCAAACTCAAACAAATGTTCAGAGAATTTTGCCTCAAAACTGTCAGGTGCAATCTGAGTCAGCAAGCAAGTCTCAATCTAATTCAGCTCAAGCTGATCAACAGCCTGCAAATTCTCCCCAGGTTAGTTCATGTGCTACAATGACACAGGATTGTATTGATTCTGCTAGTGCAGTACCAGTTTTTACTTCTGTATCTTCTCAGTGGAAAACATTGGAACCACCATTTGATTCCACTGTGAAGAATCAAACCACTCAAGGGAGCTCCTTGGGGAGTGCACCTGTTGGAAATTCAACTGGAAATGAGCAGCCAACAATTAGTCAAGGGTTAGGGCCAAGATCAGGTAGCTTGACTAACGCACATAATTCTGATACACAGTGGCAACAGCATCAGCAACAACCTCTTCAACAGTCATTGTCACAACCCATCCTATCTCAGCAGCCATATCAGGCACCAGAGCAGCAGCAGCAACAGGAGCAAGAACTGCATCCTTCCAAAGATCTTGCTTTACAACATCAGTCTCAGCAACATGTGCAGCATTTACAATCAGGACAGAGCAGTTTGTTTATCCAACCTCCTAATTCTAAAGTGGAATGATGCATTCTTATGGATGGAGCAGCCAAGTGTGCTTGTTCTGTCCGGATTGGAGTCTCTATGCCTTTATGACAGCAGTGTACAGGTATTTCTATACTTTTTGGCTTGTATGTTTGCAAATATGGTGAGCATTGTATTACATTTGTTCATTCTTTTAATTCTTAGGGATGGGGCAGAGTCATCTGATTTTTGCACTATAGGCATGGAATACACGTGCATCATGTAGGCTTCTCTTAAGTTGTGTTGCTGTTAGAGGAAAGTTTTTTCCCAATGGTCATATCATTAATTTACAGTGACTTTGTTCTCAATGGCAGCTGATTTTCTCTAAATTTGTTGCTCTGGTATACTCAAAAAGTCTGTTGAATGATAACTAGAAAGGAATAATAGGCATGCTAGGTATCATTTTCAGAACATTACCTAAAATCCACTGCATAGAAACTCTAGAATTCACTGGGAAGCAGGGCAAATCTATTAAATAATGTCAACTAGTTTTATGTCCTGCACCATGGGCGGATTGATAAAATAAAATTTATTTATAATAATAAATAGTATAGATTAATATAAAAATAAAAATAAAATATAAGCCTCAGCTAGTAATTTTATTAGAAGAAACATCTCCAATTGATGAATTATTTGATATTTGGTTCTTCAAACCTTATTTTATTTTATTATAATTTGTATTGTTTTGACTATTAATTTAATGAAATATATTTATTGTGTCATAGCAAAAACATCAATCTTTATAAGTGCATATGTAAAATGATTTTGTTATTTTATTTTTCCTTTTTGTAATTGTAAAAATTGATTCACAGTTTTTTAAGTACTACATGTGTGTGCACAGACACATACAATAATTTTTTTTTATTAATTTAATAAAATATTTTAATTATGTTATGGAAAAACTATTAATAATTACCACCTATATTCCTATTTAGAAAAAATAAATACTTAATTCATCAAGATCAATAAAAAAGTAATTATATGTTATGAATTTATATTTTATTCTAGAAATACCCATAATTTAAATGAATAAATGTATCTAATTATGTATGGGTAATAGGTGAGTGTCTCTTGAATACAAATCTCATAATAAATAAGGGTATAAAATAATATTCAAAATTGAGAATCAATTTTGCAATTGAAGAATGGAGATTGAACATCAAATAAAATTATCAACATCTTTGTAATAATTTTTCTCGAGAAGACACTTTATCTTCTACGACAACAATCAAGCCTTAGTCTAAGATTTGTTACATAGATCATACGATGCTAATCAAATGGGTCAAAAAGTGATATCTCTAAGATATTATTTATTGTCAAATTCCTTTTAATATTCTTTTTTCAAAGTTATGCCATACACTTTTTTCACTAGCGTTTTCAATGGGCGTTTTTGCACGTTTTCAAACTAAATCGTTTTTTTGTCATCCTTTTTCATAATAGGTGTTATTTCAATATTCTTTTGTACACAATTATTTCTTATTCTATCCTTTTTCATGTGACCATTCATTCATATTAGCTCTCATTTTTCCATAATAGATGGTCTATATCGTTTGCATTATTGTTTTAATGTAATTTCTTTATCAAAAAAATTTTAGTCTATCTCTCACTTTACACATTGTCCGAGGTCCCTTTGGGTAAACATTTTGTTACTCCTTCCATGATATATTTTCCTCAAAATGACCTCAAAAGAACCCTACTAAAGTTTTTATGGATAATTTTACAAAAAGTTACTTAAAAACATTGAAAAAGTTATAGTTATAGTTTTTATCCCTGTCATATTTATGTTACCATTCACTTGAAATAAACTTGTGTACAAGTTTTTGTGATGCTCTAGCATTAATTTATTAGATATAAAAGAATATTTTTTATAATTGAGGATCCTGACATTCTTTTAAGATGTGGTCTACAAGATCTATGCATTTAGGATTGTTTGCATTCATCTTTGAGTGATTTGATTGATCAAGAGCTTTTATTGATAGAATCTGAAAATAAAAAACTAAAAGATTTTGGCCTAGAAAATCATTACTTTCTATTTTCTAATCCTTAAATGTGCTTGAAAATTTAATGGGTGTTAAAAAACATAAATTTCCTTTCTAAACCACTACAAGAATCTGCTTGAATAGTAGTATTTTCAAAATCTTGATATAGCTCATTGTCATCTTCTACTTGTATTGTATGAAGATGGCTTGATTGATCAACTATTATATTTTCTTTCCTGAACACTACAAGAAGTAAAACTCCTATGCATAGATCTACCATGTCTTTAACCTCCAAAGTTTAGGTTTGTTTGCTGCTTTGGGTTGTGAGGCTTATTGTTAAGACCCTGGAATTTTATTAAAGAATACAGGAAAGAACTCCCCAAATCAAGGTTGTCAAATGGGGTTCAAATCGTAAATGGGAAGCTCTATTTTTTTAAAAGAAAATCATGAATAAAACCATATGTAGATCTTAAGATTCATGATCAATAATTAAAAATGCCATAAAACATATTTTAGCTTACAAAAACATCTAAATATTACTGTTTTAAATTTAAATAGCTCACTGTATATCTAATAAAGTGAAATATAAACTTCAAAATAATGAACACAATAATTACTCAAATTCAGCTCTAACCCTAATGAATGTTTTTGAAAAAAGCAACAACTACGATTTCATTATTATTTTAAAAATTTATAATACCTAAATATTTATCAACTTCTAAAAAATTTCTAATAATCATTATCAGTTAATTTTATTTTTTTTTCTTGTCATTACATCCTAGTCAACCAACCACAAAAAGGAAACCCACACTTTGGCCGAAGCCCAAGAGTGTGATATAGCACACTACCTACGAAAAAGACTCTGGAGCCATGGCATGCATGCTCTAGATCTATCATACTCATAATCAATGTAAGTTTTAGTCCCATTTGGATCAATTTATTAATCAGGCTGACCTGATCAAAAGTAAAAATTTCTATCCATTATAGAGCTCATTCCCCCACAGTTGATAAACTTGAACTTTCAACTTTGTTCTGCAACCTCAACCCAGTGAAACTCAACATATGCCTTTATTCATCAATAATCTGAGCTGGGGTTGAGAGGGAGAGTTTAGGATGATGAATAAAGGAAAAACTTGCAAAAAATTGACCCTAAAATTGCGTTCTTACATAATGGGTTGCATAACCTTACCCATTTTTTGGATGCGACCCAAATGTGCAATGACGAACCTTTCCCTCTCAGCCCCAACTCAGATTACTGATGAATAAAGGCAAAAGTTGCAAAAAATTGACCCTAAAATTGCTTTCTTACATAATGGGTTTCATAACCTGACCCATTTTTTGGATGCGACCCAAATGAGCAAGAATTGTACAAATCTGCTTCGATTCACAATTTGTCTGAAATTGGGGCGATTGGCATGATTCAAGGTCAAAAACAAGTCTCCATGCAATTTGTACAATTTCTTTGAATTGAAATTTGTGCCAAATCGAGATATGTATTATACGAATCTTGCAGTTCTTAACTACTATTTCCCACATTACAAGACAGAAACACATACACGGATGTTGAGGGTCTGTGCCTCTCAATGCCCAAGGGCACCAATTTACTCTCAAATCACAAGATAAATCCACTCTTAAACTTCTCTTGTATATATAGGCAACATGTCCAACTAACCTGACTAACTTCTCCACTAACATAACTTTACTATTAGACTAATATACTCCCCCTCATCAAGGTGATAATGTGGATCTGTCCCATATCCTTAGATCCCCTAGTTGGAAAAACACTTTCCCCTTGTATACCGCTGTTTGTGGCCTGAAGCTACTGCCTCTATCCAATAGGTTTGGACCCATATCCTTGGAACCACGGTCCCATTTCCCAGCATTGCAATCCTGTAGTTGGTAACCAAACACTTGACTACTCGCATTTGTTCTGACTTCCAGTGTGGACATGGTCAGTAGCTTACATCATCCTGTAAGTTCCACCAGGGTCAAATACCTTAAGACCCTCTTGGTTCCAAATCCCAACACAAGTCTCACACAACTTGCAGAAAAGACCAGCCTGCAATCTCGGCTTTACCATCTCGGCCACTTGGTTGAGGCTCTGATATCATGTCACCAACTAACTCTCCCAAACAGTTAAAAAGTGAAGGCATGTCTCAATGGTTTTATTATTTTCATGATTACATCACTTGACAAAAAGTGTAGTTTTAAATTGATTAACGATGTATGTTGATATGTATAGAAATTTTTGTATCTTTGTGAATACGCTGTCTTTGCTAACATGTATATTGAGGTCTGATGCCTGTTAATTTCTCATGAATAATATCCTATGATGATAGTTCTATAAAATGTTTCACAAGTTGCAAAGTTTCATAACAATTTGTGCTTCAGTTTGGTCGTGTATATGTGTATCTGGCCATTTTCTTGTTCTTTTACTTTGGTGTATTTGTTAATTTTTCATGGTAGAATGAAAAAAGAAAAGAGAGACCTCATTTCTGCCATGGGGTTTTGTGCAGATGTAGCTGGCTATTCATGATGGGGACTGTGGATTATGGAAACTGATATTCGTTGTTTCTGCACAGGTCCTGTTAAAATATTAACCAAAGTTATATTGGCAGGCTTCGTTGCTTATTTTGTTCTTGTTTCGCAAATCTTGTATATTACCACTGTTCTTAGAAGGTTGACCCCCCTTTTTATTTTTTTGTAAAGAGACGAATATAGAGGTATTTGTACAGGGTCGTCTCTTTTTTCTTTTGTACTTTCCCCCTCCCTTTCCTTTTGTCTTGTTTTACCTTCTCATGTGTAGAGGAACAGTTCCTTTTTGTTTTATTAGATCAGCGAATGTATGATTACTTTAGATAATTGGGATAGAAATCATTTTTATGGGCAAAAGCCTATTGAAGGTTTTGTGAATACAAGTTTTCTGATGTTCAAACCGGCTGATAATGCTATTTATTATCTTAGTACTACCATCTGCACTTGTGGAAATTTTCAATATTGTAACCATTTTAAGTTTATGAAACACAATGTTTTAAGAGCTGATCCTTACATCTTTAATGTGTCAACCACAACAGCATTTGAATTTTCACTATAAAATGCTTGTGCTTGGAAGTTTTTGCCATTTCATACCAGTTTCATCGTGAGGGCTGAGGATGTGATAATGGTTAGAGTAAGGGTGTTATCTTGCCTCGTATAAAAAATGTGTCATTATAACACACTGATTCTAGTTTTTCTCTTTGGTGAAGCTGATGCTTGTAAATCATTGCAGATTGTATTCTATCCTGATGAAATTATTGTAATTTATTAAGATTCTCTGTTTACTCAAGTAGTTAAGGACACATTTTGATTTGTTTCATCACTTATCAGCAAAATTTTTCTTTGTTGTATTAAAAAAGGTATTAGTTATTGCATCAGTATCTGCAATGACTGGAAACCTCGTTAATATTGAATGCAGAGACTGCAAATCTAGTCAATAAGATGAGTCATTTTGTTTCTCATTTGACAGCATTTATTTATGTCTTTGTCAGCCATGCTGAAATCCCCTAATTGAGATTGATGATTGCAGTTTTTGTACTCCCAAGATTTAAATGCATTTTCCAGCATTAAGTCAGCTTTGTTTCTACCAAATGTGTTAGTGGTTCGATTAAGAAAATTGTAAATCTCAACCTTAAAGTTTAAACTTTGGAATCACATGTATCTGAAAAATGCCATAGAAAGAAACTCTACCGCCTGCATTGGTGCATGATTTTATCCTGAGATTAGTATATTAGTGGAAATGTACTCTCCAGCACACAAATGCACATGCATATTTAATTCTTTTTGGGAAGTACTAATTGATGTTGATATATATTACAATACTTATGCTCTGATTTGCTAATTTACTTTGTTATCTTGCTAATTGGGGAAACCCATTAGAATCTAACGACCTGTGTCATGTTTAAATTCAGTTCTAGGATCTTGCCTAGTTTAGTAGAATCTAACGAACTGTGTCAAGTTTAGATTCAGTTCTAGAATCTTGCCTAGTTTTGAAAATTGGCAATTGATGCCTTGTTTTTCTATTCTTATGGTAATACCAAACTCAATATAAATACCAAAATAATCTTAACCATTATATTTATGTAGAAAATCACACGAACATTAGCGTGTACACTAATGATGTAGGTTCAAATCTAGTAGCCATGAAAATTTGGCAATTGATGCCTTGTTTTCCTATTCTTATGGTAATACCAAACTCAATATAAATACCAAAATAATCTTAACCATTATATTTATGTAGAAAATCACTCGAACATTAGCGTGTAAACTAATGATGTAGGTTCAAATCTAGTAGTCATGATAAACTACTTGTAATCTAGTCTCGTCATCAATGGTGAGGGTTTTGTAGTAGAAAAACAAGTTATGCAGTAGTGTTTTAAGTGATTGATAATGACAACCATTATAGACTACTTGCATGAAGATATTTTTTCATCATATTCTTAACATTAAATAACATTTGTTAAGAATGTGTTGATAAATTAAGATAAGAAAATATCATCACTGATTAGAGAACTTAAATTAAATTTCTTTACATTACTTTATCCTTTCTATTATATATATATATATATAAATACTATCCTCCTAGATAAATAAAAAATTTTCACCCTTAAATTTATTTAAGCTTAATTGTATTTTTTCCCCACTCTAATTTAGGCTATATACAATTTTAGTCTCTCAAATTTTTAGCTAATTCAGTACTTTTACTTTAAAAGTTTAGCAAATTTGGTCCTCCACTTTATTTTTCCACCTATAACTTATAAAATCTTACTTTCTATGAAAAACTATTACAAATTTAATTGATTAAATAATCTTTTAGTCAACATTCACCAACCAAATTATTAAATTTCACTCAGAAAAGATAATATATCATTTTTCTCCTTGAATCATAGTTTCACATTTATAAAATTCTTCAAATTTCATTTAGTTTTCACTAAACTGCTCGCTTATAAACGATTAAAACAATTTCATGTTCCAAGTTCATCATAAACCTTCCAGATTTTTAGATAAAAAATAATAATTTGAGGATTTTAAGTAGGGAAAAAAATAAAGAAGGGACTAATTTTGTATAATTTTAAAAGTGGAAGGATTTAATTAGGTTAAAATAACTTGAAAAACTAAATCAAATCCAAACTAGAGAAACTAAGGTATAAGAAATCCTTTATTTGAATAGTTGTGAATGAGCTTCTTGGGAGTAGTGATCCTCTTTGGTTGCTTGTGTCTCAATAGTAGTTAGTTTTAAATCCTGAATGTTGAATTGAGACTTTAGAAGATAAAAATAAAATTTTTGAGTAAAACTACAATGTTGTTAAATTTGATGTTAAAAATTTTATTTCAATTTTTTTTTTGTCAGAAAAAATGACATATATTGGAGGCAGCTGAAGCCCAGAGAGACACTAAGTCTGCCCTTTGATGTTCACTACATTTGAAAGCAAAGAATGTAAGCTAGTTGTTCACGTCTCATGCTAAGGCTTCCAAAATACTCAGCAGTTACAGGCTCCATTCAACACTTAGATAATCACATAGACAACTATAAATGTTAAAGTTGTATCTTCACTCACATCTGGGCATTATAGATAACACATCTCTCTCACACCATTGTAGATTTTCTTTAGTATAACTTATTCTGTTGAAACACACTAATTTGACATTGAAGTATCTTTGGAAATTCCATCTTTACCTGTGTGTGAATCGGAATCCATATTCCTTCTAGTACCCTTACTAGAAGCAGAATTAGCACATCTTTGGATACACAACTTACTTAAACCTTTATTCGATAAGCTTTTTTGAAATAATAATTTATATCATAAATTTAATAATAAAATTTATTAAAATAAAATAAAAATTACTTATTCTGATAAATTATACTATTTTTTTTTAAATAAGTTGAAAATAACTTATAAGAACCATAAATTATTTTTAATAAGCTGTCTATAAGTTTTTCCAAATAAGTCCTTAGAAAGCCTTAGGCTTGACTATATCACTAACAAATATTTTTCTTATTTTGATAGTTTTTTGAAAATTGAAATAAAATTAAATGATAAATCAACATAAATTTATTAACTTTTTATATTAATATTGTAGAACTTTCTTAATTTAAAAATAAAAAAATATTTTCCCTCATTATCTCTTATACCTCTCTCTCTCAGGCATATCCAAAAGTCATAAACTTAATACCTTTATCTTTTATTTACTTTTCTAAATACTATATAACTTAATTTTTTTTAAGAAAAAAGACTTTTCCTTTTTACTCCCTCTAAACCCTCACATCCAAACTATCCATAAGGGAACAATATTGGCTAACATTTTTTTCTTTCGAATAACTTATATTATTTTGTACAACCATTTATTTATTTCTATGCCAATTGATACGTCTTATAAACTAATAGTTCGACCTGAAAACCTATTCAGAACACTCAATGCTCTTTACTGTACACAACTAGACATGTTTATTGTTATTTCTTGTGTATTTAAAGTAAAACATTTTCTTAGCATATTACAGGCTTATTAGTGCTAACCTTTTTTTTTTTTTTAAGAAAAATAAAATTGTATTAATTTAAATGAGTGAAAAGATGAGATTATAAGAAATAGGAGACTTATATAGTCCATAAAACTAACAGTCCTAACTAATTTCTAACACCTTTGATTTTGAATAATATTTTTAAAATGCATGCATAAAAAAGAGAAATATATATAACTTTACTCTTGTTCAAATAACAAATTTGTGTTTATTTATCAGTACTATTGCATATTTATGTAATTTTTTTCATACAAACAAAAAGGACATCTTTATGTCAGAAAATAGTTTCTGCGGGTATACTTTCTCCATCACATGTTAATACGATCAAGTTTGACGGTTTCTTTGAATATATCTTTTGCGTTATTGTTTTAGGTATACAAATATAACTTAAAAAAGAAAATGTTATCAACAATTTGTTCACAGCATAGTTATTTGCCCTTCAATATAACTTTTAATGTAAAGAGTAACACCTTTGCCAGCAAATTAATATTAACAAATATCAATTGCCGTTAAGAGAATTACTTAAAACTCTTTTTATCAAGAAAAGAAAAACGTTGAACCAATGAACCCATGAAACTGCATGAGTCAGTTTCTAGTGTAACAAATTGGATGCTTGACACCCAATAATTACCAGGTAAATAATCTCGCTGGCACACTTACAGATCCAAGAGTTATTTTAAACACATTTTTCAGTCTTACTAGTTAAAAAATCTTACACACGCTTGCAGGATTGATTATGCTTAATTCATACGCATGCAATTTTCAGACAGAACTCTGAATTTCAAATACAAAATCTCAATCCGAACATGTAAATCACTACACTATACATGTTTTCCGTGTGAATTCAAGGCACAAGAGACAATAAATAAGCAAAATAAATGGGTCCTCCCTCTTACAAGAAACTTCACCTCCTGAGTAGTCAACAGAGGCATATTATAAAATTAAAAATCCACTATTGTATTGCATCGTATTACAAACAACATATAGTCATCTCAATATAATCCATATATTTTCAAAAGCACAAAACATTTAGTCTTGAAAGTTGACACTTTAATTTAGCACTTAGATTGCCCCCAACTTCATCAGCCATAAATTTATTTGATCCGGATATTTACACCACCAATCAATTTGGACAAATCAGTCACATTATGGACCCAAATTGATAAATTAACTAATGGTATTAATTAATTTCAAGAACTAATTTGATGCGTCCTTGTTTACAGAAAGGGAGAAATCTCTCTTCTACATATCCAAGCAATGGGGCACCGTAAACACAAAAAGGATTAAGGACCAAAAATGGTAAAAGACCAAAAAAAATGCGAAAATTCTGCAAAATAAATCAGCACATCATTTTCCCACAAATCTTCAATACATTAATATAAATGATCAAATGTGGGGCCCAGGCTACAATGCACAAGCCATTCAAGTGATGCACACTTGCACAAGTAACATTACCAAGTTTTGAAAGTTATTATATTTATATTTTAGTTCTTTAGTTTTTAAAATTTAAGTTATTAAACATTTATAATAGGTACTGGTAGAAAAAGTAAAATATTTGATAGGATTAAGGACAAGGAGAGAGGAGTAGAACTGTTTCCAAAGAAGCTTGAAGGTCTGACAAAGATTAGGCAGTGGTGGTGAGCATGAGCAACGGCGCAGCCTTGACAGCGCTGGAGTACTTCGATTCTTCTCCTCACTCATGGCAAGCTTCTCGTAAGAAAAAGGTTGTTATGCGCGTCGCCTATGTCGGCACCAATTACCGACCTCCCTCTTTTCTATCCACCATATGTTTGTTTTTCAAACCCACTTCCACGTATAGTGTTCCCCTTGTTCTCATGTTTTCAGTGAGTCTTAAGAAATATTTTAAATTCCTTGCATCATAGGTGTTGCTGCATCTTAAAATCCTAAATGCCATGGTTCCGCTGCATCACAAACAGCAATTGCTACTTGATATGCTAACAAGAAAATCACAAACACCCCATACTGACCTTTAAATTGCTATTACATGTTGCACGTTAAAGAATTTAAGCATCATAGCATACAACACAAAATTACTAATTTTCAAATAAAGAATCCATTCAGCAGATTTTATCAGATGAGTATGGAATCTGCTTGAAGGTTGATATTATTTACAAATTGATCAAACACTATCATTCAGTAATTTTGATGAGCTACTGTATGAAGTAGCATGGAACTGACTATCTAACTGAAGATATAGGTTTCCAACCAATGCTGTCACTAGAAGTAGTGCACAAGTAGATGATAAAACATCATGAAAAGCCTCAATGATTTAAGCACAAATTAGACTTTCCAAACATTTCATATTAACTTTTCTTAAAGTTTTTATCAAATGAAATAGCAATGCTTTGCTTCATCTCTACTTGTTGCACCTTAGAAAAGATAGGCTTCCTAATAGGAGACAATCTCCCACATCTAATCATTCAAAATTTCAAATTCAATACTTGGAAACATGAAATTGTTGAACATTGGCTAAACCACGTTCAGCAACTTTGCTATTTCTCTTTCAAATTCTTCATAGTTTCCAACCTTCTTTAAAAGGAAGTACATTTTAATCCCAATTGGTAAGGTGAAGCAGATGGTTTTCAAGTTTCAAGACTTCTGCAATATATAGAGTAATCAACTTCAAAATATTGGCTATTGAGCATCCTAGCTTTGACCAACAATGATATCTGTTTGGAAGCCAAGGATATTAGTACTAGGTCAAAAATCACTTGTCCAAGTCAAACTACTTGAGAAATTTCTTACTATTACACAATCAAAAGAAAACTAAAAAAACCTTTTCTATTTAAATGCAGTTTGGCTAAATCACAGTCCACGACCAATTACAATTTACAGGTGATGAAGTTGCCAATTACGGTTTGTCATTGTAATTAGAAACTTATGTAGTTTCCAGCTTGGTCAATTATGTAGCTACCCTTGTACTGTTTGAGTAAAATATTAGTGAGACCGCACATACATTACTTTATTTTATCGTAATTTTTATGGTTCATGTGGTTTTCTGCTTTTCATGTGATTTTTCTCTGATGTGTTCAAATTTTCACATGGTTTTCTGCTGTTTTTGGTTAGTAAAAATTCAGGTACATTATAATATGGAGTCATCTTCAAAGTTACGTATTTCCCAGTGTGCAGTTAAAACAACTTGTAAAATAAATAAACAATTATCAGAGGCTCAACAAAATAGAATTGAAAATACCCCTTTTAGTTGGTTGCTGAAGCTAATAAGCAACTCACTGATAGGATAATTAATTATTAGAGATAACGCCAAACTAATTTTAAATTTTATTTAATTAATTACTTTTTCAATTAATTCATCTTATTCACTTTTGTTTTCATACTTTAGGTGGGAAGACTAATACACTGCTTTCAGAATCGGAAATAAATTTATGAAACCTACTGTGGAGGATATCTCTTTAATCCTTGGTTTGCGTTGCCAAGGAAGAGATATAAATCTAAATGATGGTAGCAGCTCTTCTACTGTCTATCATCTATGTGATGGAAACATCACATTTGAATCAATTACAAAGGCCTTGCAAATAAATAATACAAATGATAATAGACAACTATTGTCATTTGTATTTAGCAGCCCTTAAGTATCTAGACGATTTAAATAATCTAGATAACTTAAATTGGGTTAGGGCAGTTTATGATTATTTGGTTAATGGGCTCAACCAAACTTCAAATAAAGAAAACAAAAGTTTCACACCAGAATAAAAGGATGTGTTATTGTCCATCAAGCAAGTGTATCATTTTTTGTTAATTCTAATTTACTTATAAGTTATATAGTTTATTGATATAAATTTTCTATCTAATGAAAATAGATATGGACATATGAGCATCTAAAGAGCTTTAAAAGGCCAACCTTAAATGAGCATCTTGTCTTGGACAAAAAATCTATAGGTTACTTGAAAAATAAGGAGGTGAAAATCTTCACCTCCATATCAAGGAATAACCTACAGCAGGAAATAACTGGAGAAGGATTGACAAAAGACATTCCTTAAGAGAAGTAGACCTTTAAAACTAGCATGATCAAATTATATGGTCAGAATGTTTAGAAGCTTTCTTTCTGGAAAGTTTGATCATACTGGAAAGTTTGATCATAAACGGTACCGTATGACAACTAGGTTCGAGTGTTTCAAAAGGAATTAGGAAACATAGGCAGAATGCCAGTCTTGTCATATGTCTCTAGTTGTCTTGGAACTACAATAACCAACAAGAAGCATGTGTGATATTGAAAAAATCTTAAAAGAGGAATCTTTCACAATTCCTCATTAATAACAGTGATATAAAGATTAATGCAGAAAAACTTCTTCGAAGGTTAGTTGGGAAGAGCAAGCTTAAGATAGGAAGAGAGGAAAAGGTGGGCTAATAGAGGGTTAAACCTCCAAGTCCAACAGGATCATATCATAACGCTTCCAGTTTAAGAAACTGGGGCTGAAACCAGTTGAGCCACAAGCTCATGGACTCAAAAACAAATTTTCTAGGGTAAGCACAGGATACGTAGAAAAATAACATAAATCAACTGCTAATAGCCTCTAGTAAAATATATTGTAAGACTAAGATACAAATCATTCCTGCTCATGCCCGAGTATTTTTGCTGTTCTTGACAGAAATGCAGATTTACTACATTGACAGAGAAGATAAAAGTGTGAATTAACGATTACTTGACTCTACCATTAAAGTAATGGATTTTTGTATTTTTGCTTTTCGTTTACTCATTCACCCCAAGATATCTTCTCCATAACAAAGTTATAATATAAAAGAAAGAAAACTGACCAGTCAGCACACATGCATATTATTGATCCGTATGTAATAAAGGAAAATGCATGTATTAATACTTTTGCAGTTAGTAGCAACAAACAAACCATTGTGGTAAATGACTTTCTCGTAAGGTTCAATCAATATCACAATAGAAAGTTATTATTTAAAAGAAAGAAAACGCAGCCACTTGCACCTTAAGTTGATCCATTTAGGAAAATGCACATATTAATACTAACAACTATTGTAGTAAATGACTTTCAATAAAATCATAATAGAAAAAAGCTAGTACTGTAAAACTCAACTAAGACCAAAAAAATTAACTTACCCTCACGTGATTGAGGTGTGTAGTAAGGACTTCAAACGAAACAAAAAATAGGATAAATAACTCTCAGCATGGCATTCAACTGGTTTTGTAGACTTTTCTGTGGTAGAAAGCAACCAGAGTTTATTTCTATTTTCACAATCTGCAAGCAAATCCACCATGTAGCCATAAATTTCTAAAACAGGTTACATACAAATTACAAGCCTTGCAATACAAAACGAAAACGAAACGAAAACGACTCTGCATTGAAGAAGAATAATTCAACAATTGCAAAGCTGATATCTTCGATAAAAGTCTAAATCAATATATAACCCTACAACAGGATGATAGTATCCGCAATTAAAATAAAAACAGAAATTACCGATTGAAAGCCACAATAGGAAAAAAAAAACCTTCAGGTTTGTTGACCAATCTTGATCCTCTTGGAAGAACCGAAAACCCTCCCAATGGAATCAACGATCCTTCGCTGCGATTCGAGAATCATCTGAATCCGCTTCTTCTCCATCTCCAACCTACACCTCTCCGTTTCCTTCATCATCTCCATCTTCAAATTCTCCATCCCAATAAACCTCTCCGCGAAAGCCCTCATCTCCGCAGTCAACCCTAAAACACCATCGTCACCCCCATCATCATATTCATCATCTTCATCATCATCATCATCATCGTCATCTTCATCATCATCACCGATATCATCGTAATAAACAAGTCTCTCCTTGGTTCTCATAGGTCTCTGGCTATGGCTAACAATATGATTAATACTCTTCGACTTGATATAACTCTCTCTCTCCCTCTCATCGTTTTCATGCGGATTGGTGTCGTTGTCGTCGAAGTCATCATCGCTGTCGTTTCGCGAAGGGGCTAAGGCGGAAATAGGGAGGGGGCCGCGTTCGAGTTCGTCCATGAGGGATGAGTATTGCCACGCGCTGGCGGGGGCGGTGGGGGTGGTGAGGCGGTGTTTTTTGTCGGCACGGTGGCGCTGACGGAGTTTTTCCATTTTATGGCGGCACTGGAGGGCGGACTTGGAGGGGTGGTTGAGGTCGTAGCCGCAGCGGGCGGCGACAACGACGGCGACTTCTTCCCACTGGTTTTGACGGAGAGGGCCGCGTTTGAGAGAGTACCACTTCTCTTGGTAGGCTCGGATGAGGTGAACGGTTTCTTGGTGGGTCCATGGTATGGGTTGGGGCTTCTTTGAGGGCGATGCGGCGTCGTTTTGGGGTGAAGACGGGGTGGCCATTTCAATGGGTAGAGTGAGTGCGTGGTTTGGTCATAAATTGTGGTGTGGTTTGGCTTTGTTATAACTTGTGTGGTTTTAAGGGATTGGTTGACATTTGGTGGCGGTTGTTGGTGTTGTGGCGGTCATGTAGGGGTGCTGTGGTGGATAGTGACAGGCCAGCATACTCAGAACGGAACGTGGTGGGTCACTGTAATTGCCACACCCAGTTAGCCTTCTACAAATCTTATTTATTTATGGTAAATTAACAAAATTACTTTACAAGTTTATTAAAAAATTATTTTTTTCATAATATTGATGTAATAATTTATTTTTTAAAATAAAACTTTATCAAACATTTACTGGATTATTCTTTAATCATATTATAATTATTCTAATTTAAGTTATATATTTTAGTGTCTTCTAAAGTCTCCATAGATGAAAATGAATGTAGATGAGAATTGGATTTATAATTTGAATGTCATGGGTGCTGGAAGGGCAATTTTTCCTGTAGTGACATGTTTGGTGACTCTATGAGTCGAGTTAATAACTATTGAAGAAAGATTACATTTTTGTTGACATGAAGAGTTTTGTAAGGTTATTTGTGAATCAGAGTATCTAGAATGGTGAAACCAGTTTAAGATCTTTAGATGGAAATTGGTTAGGCCAGGTTAGGCTTTACTCTAAACAGGTCTGGCCTGTAACATAATTATTAGGCCTGAGTCTGGCCTGTTACCTGTTAAAGGCTTTATTTTAGGTTTGGCCTGGCCTGTTTAAGTAGTCTGACTTGGCCTAAAGCCTATTAACAAAGCTTGTTAAAAAAAATTAATATTAATAAAAATATAAATATTTTATTATTAAATTAGTTTATACATTTTTCTAATTTCTATCTATATTCTTAATAATTATTAAATAATTTTTAAAATATTATTTAAGTATGAATTATAAATATTTTATATTAATAAAATTTATATTTATTTTTTTTATTTTTTTAAATTATATAAATAATAAATATTTTAGTTTTATTTTAGAAACATATTTTGTTTATTTAAAGACATCTTATATTAAACAAATAAAGTTATAGTAAATACATAAAATTGATAAAAATAAATAACATTCACACAGTTTGTTGAATCAATTAAAAGAAAATTATATGTTTTAAAAAAAATAAATTTAAACTTACTGCAATATATATATATATATATATATATATATATAATGAAAATAATAATAACTATTAAATTAAAAAAATAACACTTATAAAATTTATTGAATCAACTAAAAAAATTATTATATTTTAAAAAATAAATAAATATCATCATTATAAAAATTGTAGATGATAAATACTTATATTATAAAATTCATAGATGCAGAAAAATAACATATGAGTATAGGAAGAGTTATTAAAATTTATATTTAAATTAAAATAACTTATATTTCTAAATTTTTATCTTAATTAAAAAATATGTGATAAAACTTAATATAAAAATTTAAACTTAATGTACTATATATATATAAAATAAAAACAATAATAACTATTAAATTAAAAAATAATTACAAAATATTTAATTTTATTTGTCTCATTAATTTGTTATTTTAAATTAACAAATAAATATAAAATTAATTACACTATAATATTAATGTAATATAGAAAATATTACTAATACAATAAATTAAAACACATACTTATAAATTACATATAAATTGATAAATTGACTAATAATTTAATTAAAACATGTGGAAGTTATAAAAATATATATTATTATATAATTTATTTATAATTATATTATTTATATTATTTACTACATGGTCTGATTATATATATATATATATATATATATATATATATATATATATATTAATATATATTATAATAAGTTTTTTATTTTATTTTGTTATCATTTTTTTTATAAATTTTTACTTTCAAATAAAATATAATTCAGATTTAAGCCATCTCTATTTATTATAAATAAAAAGAATTATAACATAATATATTAATATAATAATTAAATAATTAAATTAATAATAATAAAATTAAGAGTATAAAAAATATGTTAATATAATTTTATTATTTTATTTTTAAATTTTATTTCGTTTAGTTTTGATTACGTCTTATTCCTGTTCAAAGACTTAACTATTTTTTAAATTGTTTAAATATAATAATTTATTATTAAATAAATTTATTATTTAAAAAGTGTAATCATGTATAAATATTTTTAATTTTTAATATAATAAAATTTATGTTTATTATAATTATAAATAAATAAAATTATAACATAATATATTAATTTAATAATAACAGAATTAAGAATATAAAAATATATTATTAAATAACTTTATTATTTAAATATATTTTGATAGCTCTATTTTTAAATTATAATATATATATATATATATATATATATATATTTATACAGGCCGGCCTGTCAGGCTTAACAGGCTTTATAAACAGCTTAAGTCTGACTTATTTACTTAAACAGGTCTTAAAAAAGGTTTGAGTCTGGTTTTTTTATTAAAAAGGTCAGGTCAAGCCAGGCCTAAACTAGGTCAGGCCACAGGCTCTTGTCAGACGGCCTGGCCTGTTTCCATCCCGAAAGGAATAATACTCATATAGAAATGTTATTAGGAGAATAAAAAAATAAAAATTTGAGATTGGAATGTAGACTGTGTATTTTTAGAGAATCCAATTCGGTTGTGCATGATTTGGCTACTTGACAGCTGAACATTTGAAATTAATTCTTCATTAATTTTTTTTTTAAATTTTGAAATCAATTCATGTTCCAATGTCATTACAAATTCTTCAAAAAATAAATAAATTATAAAGATTGCTTCAAACGTTCATTTTCTTTGCGACTCAACGCCTTCAATGTCATTCAGCTATTTCTATCACCATCAAAATCAACTGGCTCTACCCATTGTTATCATCTATCACAAATTCAATCCTTTTATCACTGCAATATGACACCTTCCACTATCATCACTTGAAACCTTCCACATTTCATAACAACCCTTCTTCACCATTATAACTTCACATTCTCTAACACTACTTTGGCCTATCATCTTTATTGCTAGCATCACTTTAATAAAGGTAATTTTGTCATTGTTAAAAATTCACCTTACTATTTATGAGGTTATCTCGTATATTCCATTGCTTTAATAAGGCTAATTTATGTTATATATTATATATTTTTTGTTAACACAGATTTTACTCTATAAAAAATAATCGATATAATTTTACGAAGCATAAAAGGATGTCAAAGTGATTTTTTATTTATTTTGCCAAGTGTAAATTGTACTTTTTTTTAAAATGTTAACAATAATAGTCTTTCTTTAGAATTGAATTTAAGTAATGAAATGATATTTTTAAATAAATTATTATTATTTATGAAAATAAAAATATATATTTAATTAAAGTTGTGGTTCCTGTACTTAATACTATTTTTTTTTTTAGGCTTTCTATAATTTCATTTTGATTTTTATATGAACATTCATTTATGAATTATTTTTTTTATTATTTATTAAAATTAGAATAGTGTTAAATTTAATTTCTATACTTAGCATGATTTTTTATATAACTATATATTTGAACTACTCGGGCTATATATACAAGTAGCAGGCTTATGTTGGTCGAGTTTGATAAACCTAAACTTATTTGAACTTCTAAAATGGCAGCTAAAGTTCAACTCTATATAAGTAACAAACTTATGCAAATTTATTCACATAATTACAACTCATAACAAAATACACTACTAATAATAATAAGGAAAAGGATTATTTTAACTCTTATATGTTTGGTCATATGCAATTTAAATTCTAACTTTTTAAAGTGTCTAATGAGATGCCTTATATTTACCAGCATGTGCAAAAAAAGTTCTTCCGTTAGTGAAACATTCAATTTTTCTGTTTCTTGAAAAAAAAAATTAACCCTAAATCCTTAATCCTTCATCTCTCTAGAGTGTCAAGTTTCATTTGTAGAAAGCTTTTAAGGTGATCTATAAAGGCCACAAGACTGTTGTGGTAGGATCCATCCTTTTTGACTTTCCAAGCTTTCTATGGCATCTCTTTGACTTTGATTCTCAATGCTTAATCCTACCATCCATTAACTTCTTCACAATTTTCTCTACACATTCCCTAGCAATCACTTTCGTCTTTCCATAAGCCTTTTATTATAGTATTAGTTGCTAAACCCAAGCATGGTGATCAAGGGAATCCCAACACTAATGGCTTCCACCATTGTGTTTCATTCACATTGTATTAGGAACTTTCATGTAGGAAGATGATGTGTGAATAGTAAATACTCGTCACTCGCCCTATGTACAGAAACTTGCCCTAATACCTATGTGGGTACACAAATAATGGGTACTTGTAAGGTTAAATAGGGCTTTTTTGCCCGCATGGAGTTAAAGGAGAAATAATTTCTCCATATGGGGTTATTTCATAACAAATGTTGTGTCTACGGTGATATGAAAGTGTTGTAAAATGATCTGACGATACAATGTAAAGTGTCGGCTACAAAACTACCGACACTAAGTCTAATTATTGCCACGTGGCATATGTGTCGGCTCGTTGTACTTCGACACATGTGTGTCAGTTTTATTTTTGGCGACACTTGTGTATCAGCTGGTAGAATGCCGACACTTGCGCTGTGTCAGTTGCTTTGACGCCGACACATTTCTCGTCCATCTCCTTACCTATTGGACAAACCAAAAGACAGTCTTTTATCCAGTGATTTTTATTCAATTAAAATGCATATATATAGGTGAACGAGTTTGTATTGGTTGCGAAAAATTTTGAAGAAGTTGCCGAGTATAGAAGAAAGTGAAGGTTAGAATGTTATTAATTTATTGTTTTAATTTTTTAATTATTGCAATTAAATTTGAATTAATAATTTTAATATTATTATAAATTAATGAAATTAAAAATATTTGTAGTAATTAATTAAATTATTTAATGTTAATATAATATTATTAAAAATATAAATGTAAATCTTTTTTATTTTTATATTTTTATAATATTTTTTGTTACTATTTGTTTAGGTATACTTTGGTAATATTTTTTG